ACTGGCTCTATAGCTCTTAAGTCGATGCGACAACTAATAGTTGTCATTTTCCCACTTAAGACATTTTCAAGCCCCCCTTTTTTTAGGAAAGTTCTAAATTAGTATTATTTTTCAAATGCTATTGGAATTTAAGCTTTTCATTTTTTGGGCCTGCAAATGGGACATAGTACCTTTAACACCAAGGGGTGGTTGTAACGCTCCAATTAAAAAATATTAATAAGTATACAAAAACATATCCCAGAGATGGTGGGTATGTAAAGTGATGAGTCGCAAAGCGAAGAGAATGAGGAAAGGAAGAATAATTCCCAGGCGCTATATATAGGCCGATCAAAACGAGCTAATCTGATTGAGGTCAAACTGATCTATATAATATTTGAAGTAGAAGCTCTGTTAGACTTGCATTTTATCGAGTACTACCATTAAGGAGATATTATGCAAAAACTTTAGCCTTATATCTCATCATTACTAATGGTGAAGCAACTGCATTGTATAAAAGGAAATTGTATCTTAGATATTCTGAATGCTTGGTTGCGTGGCAGATGGGAATTATTAGGCAATGTGTTTTGGAATCATACAAAAATGCAACAGAAGCACTCAATAATTACTGCAAAAGCTCGTATAGGATCATGCCAGAAGCGTGATAATCATTGAGGAAAATAATTTTCCTTCCTTGTACAGTATAACGTTATTTTAGGACTACATGTAGCAATAGATTTAGTCAAAAAGTACATTCATTCATGGTCACGTGGTTCGAGGATGATCAACTAAATTTTTCATTCACCGCCAGGCAAAAGCTTTCCTTGGAAATAACAAGAAGAAGAAAACATACAGCGATTTTGCTTGATTTTATACCTGAACGGATCGCTTCCCTCTAACGAATTTCCACTTTGTCCTACTCCCGAAGGCATTATGAGGAAAGTAGTTTGTGATTAGTTATATTCTGTTGTTGATTTTTCTTTTTATTTAGGAGAGAACCATAGTTGCCCTTTCGCGGACCTAATTCACATTTATGCAGGTTATTTGGTCCGAGTATATAAGTACGTATAATTTGCAGCTCCCGTAACTTTACTCCGTTCCGCCCTATTTTCGTTTGATAACGTATCATATAAGTTTGGTTGGCGACTCGTTACTATAGGGTCAATGTAGATCATCAATCCTTGTAATGGTTGATGGTTTGATGATTTGTTTTGTCTGACTGCTAAGATAGCATGTGTATGCTTGTAAGTAATCATCCGGGGGACCGACGGCTTTAAGTCCTCTCTTAGGGACTTGGTGATGAGGATGAATTAAAGGGCACTTTTGCATCGACTTGGCTTCGTACCCGGGACCCCCGGTTACGAGACCACTGCTCTACCACTGAGACACCGCGTCTCCTCGATGAATGAAACTTACTCTTCTAATGCAGCAGATTTACATACAAATTGGCCAAGGGCACTAGACTCGTTAGGGCACCGAGGGGTTTGTAAAACAAACAACAAACAAACGAACGAACAAACAAACAATTTCTAAATCTTTGTTTGCGAAGAAGGGTTAATTATGAATTTTAGATCATCTTTAGATTGGATTAAATTTGATTTGATTTATTTGCACACGCTGATAACAAATTGGAATCATACTACAATATATATTGTGTAATTCAACAAATGGCAAAATTACGTTTAGAGAAATTAATCAGGCAAACATACGTTATAGACCAATGGAAATAATGAGCAAACTTGGATGAGTAATATCTTATAAATAATTCTGCCCCCCCTAAACTATTAATTCACAAGTATTAGAAAAATGTATAATACGAAACAAAGGCGAACATGATGCTATGCAACTAGAGCTTGAAGTCTCTAAATTAAAGTCATATCCATGATCCAACAAGCAAACAGACAGCTAGACAAACTGAATGAAAATCTCCAATGTAATACCCCTAGGGTTGTTATTACATTTAATCCTTCTATTGATAAGTGTGAGATTATTGCACATGCCAACAGGGAGCAAACAGTGTTAGCAAACTGTGACACCACACCCTACAGACAGAATAACAAAACACGCATCATCGTCCCGGATCATCGTCTGTAAGAAAATTCGAATGAAAAGCCCCCGAACGCGGGAAAACTCGAAATATGGCCGGAAACTGTGTTGATTTATTAAAAACATCCTGCGGTCATAGATTTCTGGTCACACATACATGTATGAATTATGTACACCGGACTAAAACTCAATCATCGCATGCATGCATTGTCGGTTCGTTTGGAATACGGTGAATTCCATTTTCTCTTATCAATGTAAACATTCATATTTCCATATCCTCATACCCTCAAATGCTATATTTCCGGCATGTCTCATAAATGCCATAAACCCATAGCTTTAACATGGAATTATGATTTCTACATATATCTTGCCCCTTTTCTGTCTGCCTTTCTGTCTGTCTGTCTCTCTCCCTCACCGCCTTGCTTTTTACCGGTTTCTCTTTGCCCCATTACGCTACCACCCCTTCTTTCCCTCTCTTTCTCTCTCTCTCTCTCTCTCACTCCTTCTTGCTTTCTTTCAATTTTTCTTTGCACACACTATGTGACTTAGTCCCCCTCTCTCTCTCCCCCCCCCTCCATTCGAAATGCCCTATAATAGCTGTCCCTTTGCCCAGTTATGTATGGAATCCCTGCTTTTCTCTCTCCCTCAGACTCTCTTTCTTCCTCTCCATTGAGTATACCCCATCCCCTCTCTCTCTTCTTTTCTCTAACCCAATTCCCCCGCCTCCTTCCCCTCAGCTCTCCCCTGCATGCCTTACAAATAAATTCATGTCTCTCTTGCTCTCATTCCTCTCCCCATTGTCTCTATCTGACATGTTCGTGATTTTGTCAGCATTAGTTTGACCGATCTAGGAAGATTTGCTAGAGTGACATGACGTTTGTGTTTATATTCCAGTGTGCTGACAATGGTAAACGATTGTAATAACTAATACCACAGCGGGATCAAGTCTGAAAAACCGAATGCATCTCTGACAACATTTCCTGTCAATATTTAACGGTTATAATATATTCGAGTAATCATGAACTCTAGCAACCAATAACCCTCTTAGTGAATGATTTGTTAAATTGTGAATAGCAGAAAATAAAATGGGTTATTTTCGATCATTACTCTGATTGCAAAAGCGCCTAACTGGTATCATGAATGAGAATGTGTGGGGGGAGGGGAGGGGAAGGGGGAGATCAGCTAATATCATCTAAAATTGGGATACATTTTCCAACAAGGAATCAAAAAAGTATCCTCGGGTTTCTGCTGACAAAAGTTTTGTTAAGATCTGAATGCAGGGTTTCAGTCAAATTTTCCAAAAAAAGACGCCCCCCTCGCCGTTTTCCTCATCATTCATCCCGACTCAGTCTTGTAGCCATGCCCTTGAAATTAAGAAGCCCATGCTGTCTAGATGTCGCAATGAAATACATTTGCAAATACATTAAAATTCACCATTCATCCAATAAGAGATAAGACTCATTTCGGAGAAGGGCACAGGTAAACATAGGGATTATCCTCCTAGCCTTAAAGGCTACATAGTAACGGTTAATACAAACAAGCTAAATTAATAAAATAATTGTCCTTGATACATTTGATGTTTCGGAATTGCTCAACCTGACTGCTAGGAAATCATGCATATATGCTTGTAAAAAAAAACAATAAGGGGACCGACGGTTTTTAGCCAGTCCGAAGGACTTTGATTAGAGCCCGACCCGAGAACACGAGCGCATTTACTTGGTTTTGAACCCTGGGCCTTCCGATTACGAGACCACTGCTCTGAGCCATCGCGCCTCATTTTGTTCTAGATTGTAAATTATGTGTGCTCTATTTCAACAGTGGAATTACTGGTAATTATGAAAAATATTACCCCTTCGATGCGATTCCCCCTTCGGATACCGTGACACATCCGTGAGCCTCCCTGATACATATAACGTAATTCCTTATTCAGAATTATCGAAAATCATGTGAGATCCCCTGTCGCCACCATTTGCACGCAAAGTTTGACCGACCTAGGCCAGGGGCCTCGGCAGAACTTTATATGGGAACATCGTGAGCTAAAAATAGTCAGATTTTATGACAATTAGTGGCGTAGCATTCGTCCAGACATTAAGGGGCACCAGCAACGGGGGTGGGGGAGGGGGTCCGGTCTTATTATTGATGAATGAAAATGCTACTTAACAAGGTCTTATTCGGGTGAGGGTGTGGGAAGGATTCATATTTTCCTTTCTCATCCTCGACCCCCTTCTCACTGTCCCTTTCTCCCTTTTCTCTTTATACTTCTATTTCATTCGACTGGGGGCACATGCCCCCATGTAGCAACGCTAGTGTTTACACCATGTGATATCTCCTATCTTATATAAAATACACGTGTTCATTGTATTATAAATATGTTTACCGACGGCTATCAAAGAACACATTAAAATCACGGATGTGGAGATGAAAGAAAAAAAAACACTAAATTCTTTATTCACGAAAGAAAATAATATAACATATTCGAGCTCTAAACTATGACAAATTCACCCCTATCACGAAGTCGACCTGCTGAGTGGCAATTATCAAGTAAACATAATTTCCCATATCAAGCATTATATTTTACATAATAAGTACTGTATCAAACTAATAGTTGTATATACTACAGCTTTGGATATGTCTAAATATCTTGTATTACCACTTTGCAGAACTTGACAGTTGACACGTCAACTAGCTATAGGCCTAACGGTGGCTACTACGTATTGTACATACAAAGAATTTGTTTAAAAAAATGGAAATAAAGTATCTATGCAACAAAGCAGAGTTACAACCCTTACTTAATACAATCAGTCATTATCTCACCACAAGTCATTCGATCTCATGATCTCGCATTAATGTGATGATATCTTTTCACTGAACAAAATGTATTTTACTTCAGGACATTAACCTCAGAAAATGCCTTGCATTTAAATTGATACAAAGGAGATGAAAACGAACCGAAATAAAAGGGTAGCCTACATACTCACTTATCATAACGAACAGCTGCGATGGCTAGCCCGAATAGGGAGAGGGAAATAAGGAGAAAACACCCCCTCATAGTTGTCCGATAATTCCTCATAGTACTGACTCCAAACGATAAAACAAAAAGCAATCGAAAATATCCACCAAACATCGACTCCGAAATAATCCGTCTCTTTATCATCTGCGCATTGACATGGTGTCGCGAACGAGTTTGCATCTCAATTATCCCCAAAGTAGGTTATTGCTGACGTCATTCTTATCTCTCGTGAAGGTCTAAAGCTCAAAACAATGGATAATTGTCTGAGGTATAACGCAAACCATCTAGCAATGGACTGGGGTCGTACAAACGCTGTCCCCAGCGCGGTCAGAGCGCCCGCTCTATCACAAAACGAGAATCGTCAGGCAAACCAGAAAAAAACCGCGGCAACTTGGCAGTGACGTCACACCTAGGTGATTAAAACTTCGCTGTTGATATACAGAGAACAGGGTTACCAGATTAAAATTAAAAGATGATTAAGACTTAAGTGTATTTTGAGATGCTTCGTTATAGTCGGTAGAATGGAAGAGAATAATCAGATGTGCGCAAAGTTTGTAACTTTGTTCAACTCTCTATTTTTGCGCCTGGATATAATATAATCGGATAATCTCGTTGACGGCATAAGCGTTATCAGATTATCAATTATGTGGGGGCAGCCTGGGATTGTTTTTATCTGTTTTGTGTGTCAGGGATTCAGTGGAGTTGTCGCATTGATCCTAAACGCCTAATTTAATATTTTGGCAAAGGATAACCTTTTGTCTGGGGCATTTTTGATGGCTGTACTTTTGCTTCTAGTCTTTATAAAATGCTCTCCACATTTTGCCTTTTTCGCAATAACCCTATATTTATACTTCTTTTACTCAACGCAATCAATTACATTTTTGTTGGAAGTATGCTGACTATCAATGATTAGGATGTACCTTATATTAGTTGTTGTATTTCGTGTCATTTTCCTAAAATTCTCTTTCTAAGGTGTGGTTCAAAGATTTAAAATTTCAAATATTAAAACTTTAACAATATTCAATGTTTGGTAGAATTACGCACAACTCCATTATGCTACTATGTTAGACCAAAATATGGAATCAGCTTTGAACGAAAGGATTATATTACTAATCGATACAAAATAAAGAAGTGACAATAAGATACTAAGTTAATAATTAGATACTTATTCAAAAATGAATATTCAAAGATAAACACGATACCTTTCGATATAGCGGCGTCTATATTTGCTAACACCTTTTTTTGGTTGAAGTGCAGATGTCTGAATTATATTAAACGTTTCATTTATTCAAGCATACAGCATTTTTTGGCGCGGTCCGTAAAATTGACCTTTTGTGTTTCTAGGCTTTGGACAAAAAAAATATTCATGCTTCCCGAAACTGACCAGAAAAAAAAAATCGGGTTGTCTGTTTGGAAAGTCAGCAGGAAGCGTGTAGGGCTCACACTTGATTTCTGTATCAGCTGTCTCCACATGTATTCTCTGTTATACAAAATGGGACATGAAAGTACAAAGGTGATTTTAAAATGACGAAGAAACTGTCATTAAGCCACAGCAATGGATATAGAAATGCAGACAGTCTGGGAAGTAACATTAAAAAGTGGGGGCAACAAAAAAAATGTTGGAAGCAATATTGCCATCTGCCCCGAGTCAGCTGTTCCCCCTTTATTATTTTTTATTTTTTATAGACAGCCTCTTTAAATAGCATTTGGTGATTATCGCCCTGTTACCTCATGCCACCGGTTAAAGTAATTAGGTGCAAATCCACATAATTGCAATCGGCCTCAAAGTCCTCGAGATGAGCAAATATTACCTACATGACCTATTTGAAACACCAGTACTCCATATGTTTCACAAAAAGGGTGAATACCTGTAGCCTCTAATTAGTAATTGGCAGTCATATAGTTATCATCTTCTTTTTTTTCATCGCCAGCTGGATAAAATCATGTAATTGCCGTTATCTTGGATATCTAGAGGGTATTGAAAAAATGTACCAACTTGTATTCAGATTCAAGTTCATATTTTAGAGCTAGATCGGAGAAGGGTGGGGGGGGGGGGCAAGAGTCACTTGTAGCACTTGTTCCTCAAATGGGGGCAGAAAATTAACCAAAATCCATGTCAACGATTTTAATAAGGTAGCCGAAATATTTTCTTTTTGTTTTTCAATGGTGAATCTGTTCATCATATATTCAGGAGAGGGAGGCTGATTAATCTTCGAGCAAAGGGACGAGAACAACATATATATATATATATAAATATATATATATATAAATATATATATATATATATATATATATATATATATGTAAATTGAACCCTTTAGAAAACACTATTCATAGACTTTTATGATTTAAACAAAAAGATAAATTTCAAACCCTGGACAATTATTTTTTCATGTAATTCACTCTGCTTTATTTTAAATGTTGAAGGCGAATATAATAAAACATAATCGTTAGTTTTCTTTTCCTTTCTCTCTTTGGCGTTTTGTTACGCCCCTCTATCTGATAGTTTTTGCACCCCCTCCAAGTGCCGCCCGGGGCCCCTCTTTAAATAAACCACTGCCCTTATCTTCAAGAATCTTGATGTCATTTTGCAGTCTTAAGGGCCAAACTTTACCAAAGAGCCAAATTTGTAATAAAAAATAATATTATGTTTACATATGACGTTACCATAGGACGGTACTATGCCCAATTTTTAATATAGAGCATCGTTTTAATGAATAGACATTTTTATTTACGTTGATAATGTAATATCTACAGCTCAACAGACAAAATTAAACAGAAATATACGAAGCAGTTGCTACTTGTCTTAAACTAATGATATTTTGTCCAGATATGTTCACATGCAGGAACCTTTTTAAAGTTTAAGGCCTTAAGTATGAAAAAGAGCAATTGCAACATACCTGTCATGTTAAATTTCAGTTTATTCTCATCATAGTTAAGTTGAATTACCAGAAAACAGAATCAAACAGTTTATTTCATGGAAAGGAGGGATTTTAAAATGCCAAATTTTTCTGATAATTCCGTTACCAAGGAATGTATACCCCAGTATAAATAATGTAAGTGGATTTTTTTAAAGGAAATAAAGAGCTCAGGTGAAAGAATGACTATATCTGCAGATTGTTAAATGGTGAGAATGGGGCAGAGTAAATAAGAAAATAGAGCACAAAGTCTTAAAATGTGAGGAAAAAAAGTTGCCCTAATACCGTCAGATTCTATATTCAACAGAGCACAGATAGAAGGAGCCATATCGAAGATGTCTTTGAAAAAAATGGAGCTGTTCGGACCCAGAGACGTCTATATTTAGATACTTTTTAGGGGGTACCCAACAGATTAGAGGGATGGGAGGGGGCGGGTGTCTATAGGAGAGGAGTATGATGAGTCATACACACATTTTCCTCATCTTTTTTGACGATAAAATATTCTAAAGTTAATATGCTCTAACAGGTTGATTGCCGAATGTATGGTCATATTTTATATTCGTATCCCTCTCAATCTGCAATTATATTATAGTATTCAAACAGTAAAAAACATCCTTTTAACACTTCCTTTCATCGAATTATGCTATTAAAAGTATTTATTCATTTATTTAATAATCTGTATTTAATTATTTATTAGTATTTTTTTATTTAAAGTAATCTGCTCCTGCGTAACCCTTTCTCGCTTTGACTGTGTTAGTCTTAATCCTTCTTTTATAGATCACCGTTTATGAATTAGTCTTATTTTCTAAAAATTCTTCCCCTCTCCCGCTCTCTCTTGCACCCCACTATCTCTCTCTCTCTCTCTTTCTTTTTCTCTGTCTTACTCTCTCTTCCCCCTTCTCTCTCTCTCTCTTGCACCCCATTATCTCTCTCTCTCTCTCTCTTTCTTTTTCTCTTTCTTACTCTCTCTTCCCCCTTCTCTCTCTCTGTCTCTCCCTCCCCCTTTGTCTCTTTCATTATAATGTCTCTCCATATATGTTCATAGAGTAACATTTCCCCTGTTACTCTCTCTCTCTCTCCCTCCCCTCTGTCTTTTTCATTATAATGTCTCTCCATATATGTTCATAGAGTAAAATTTCCCCTGTTACTGTCTGTCTCTACGAAATTGATCTCCACATTCCTTCCTAAAACATGGCATTCCTTAAAAAGAAAAAAAAATCAGTACTTGCACTCATTATATACCATCGCTTTATTTTCATCTTTATTAAATACTAATCCTGCTTAACATTGTACATGAACATACAAGTAGTTACGGCTTATTCATCTCCAAAATATGACTTCAACCATGGACTTATTCGTATAGTAGGTCCATGCTTCAACTTAATTGCTCATGTTTACTTTCTTGATTTTGATTTTTTATTTCTTCAGCTGTTTTACCATTTAAAAGTGTTTTGCTTTTGATCAACATCACGATCGCAAAGAATTTCGAAAAACTAATCGCAAGGCATTTTTTCATAGCGGTGCCCATCACCCGTAGAAACGTAGGAACATTAATATGACGTACTGTACAGGGCAGTGGCGGATCTAGGGGGGTTGCTCACTACCCCCCCCCCCCACTGAGCGACTTTTCGGACGGCGCGATTTTCAAATTTTCGGGAGCAAAAAAAAAAAAAAAAATTGGCCCCCCCCTAAGAAATCCTAGATCCGCGCCTGGTACAGGGGTATCGGTTGATGGATTGGAACGGAGGGATAGGGGAACTAACATTCCTCCCGAAATTAAAAATATCTGTCGCTTAATGTGCAATTATTGTCGGGAAAATTGTTAATCGGATAACCTTTCTTTAGACCGTTCATTTCATTCCTATTTTAATATATCTGCCACTTGTGACAGCAAGACCGATTGATTTGATGTCTTCGCGTTGTACTTACGCACAACAAAACATTTTATGCTATTATCACCGTCCTCCAAATAAAATGTGACGATGGAAAAAAAAATGACTAGAATTTTGCTTGTATGTTCGTCATATTCATTGACAAATTCCATTATTTTCTGATGGCATAAGGTCAGCAAATTTTGGGTCCCCCCAAGGCCCAATGAAAACAAATAAAACGCCTCTGGGTAATTTATATTTATAATTCGGAGATGAGTTGTTGCCCGACGACCAAGATGGCGGCGTAGATTTCTTCAGTGGTCGGTTGGATCTCCTTTTCGGGCAAGAAAAAGCCGTACTTGTCCTCATCACGGAGTTCGATGGCGTAGGTATACTTGATCCCCAATTCACCGTAAAGCCAGTCGACACTGCCCCCAGATGCCGGGTCTATTTTTGGAAAGGCACAGGTAGAGAATCCATATTTATATTGGTGTTGCATATGATTTACTTGTAGTGCCGTGCGGCTTGTGCACCAGCGATTCAGATGCCTTTGGAGGGCCATCGGTATTATTAACCCAACAAATGCAAAACATTTCGAAAGAAGATGTACTTCCATTATACCGACGATCTGGGTATTTATATATATAATTTTATATTTCGTTATCTTTCCCCTTCCTTTCTCCCTATTTTCCTTCCCCTTTCCCGATCTCTCGCTCTCTCTCTCTCTCTCTCTCTCTCTCTCTCTATCTCTTTTGTTGTTTTGTTGGTTAGCATTCGGCGGGGGGGGGGGGAGGGGAGGGTGACAAGTGCAACTCGTTGTCTCGTACTTGTATCACTATACATGCCATTGTCTAAGCTACTCTGACTGTTGGATGTGATTTTCTAGTTGTGACGCGATCTCAGTGATAAGAGGTTATAAATTTGTGGTGGTGGTGGTTATTTTACCTGACTGCTAAGTCAACATTAATATTTGTCACTGTGACTGTACATTGCCTATTATATGTGATTGCCTATGTATCGTTGGGAACATTCATATACCCATCAATCAAGAGTCTATGTATAATTACATTGCCGAACCCGGTGCCTTTTATTGTTACACATAATCAGTAATATAAAACCTAATGGCGTAACGTGATCCCATTCATGGAGGAGGAGGAGGAGGAGGAGGAGGGGTGGGGTGGTAAATAAAATACGAGAGAAAACGGCCAGCGGGGGATCGAGGGGGGGGGGGTAAAATGAGGGGGGGGGGGTAAAATGAGGGGGGGGGGGTCGTGTCATCATCTTTTCACTTTATCTTCCGTCTATTTCTTTCTTTTCTTTTTTCTTTCCCTCTGTTCATTTCCTTTTTTTTCTTCCTTCTTTTTTTGTGTCATTCGATTGGGGGTGGGGGGGGGGGGTGGGTGCTACGATGCCTCCTGGTGCCGCCTGTTTTTCTATATCTACGCCACTGACTCTGGCTATAATTATGTCTCAGCCATTGTAACCAAATAAACGATCTTCGATGCCATGAACATGCCTTACACACCATGAGAGGGTGTTTTGCAACAGAATCACTCTATCTACATTGGACGATTTAAAAAAAAAAAACTCTTTCTAAAGAATGGGAACATTTAGACACACGTGGTAAAAGTTATGTATGAAGGCCACTCCCTCATTTAAAATCTGTTTCACGACTTATGACGGATACTTACAGAGATAGGGCCCAACCTCCCCGACAAAGTAGGTCTTTCCATGGGTAGCAGTGATGGCTTCAATGGCTTTCAGTCCTAAGGCTCGCTGTTTGACGGAAAGAATAAAAACAATCAACCAATCACGAAAATGTAATACCCTATTGCATATCATATAGAACTTATGTTAGGATTACATAATGCATCATGTTTCCATGTTTTCACAGATAAAGAACAGGGAAATTTTTTATTTTTTTAAATTTTTGGTCACTTCAAGGTACATAAGTATATTTGACAAATGACTCACACACCAGTGAAAATGAGCATTTGATTACATAATGCATTGAACATTATACAGCTCCTGAAAATGCTTATGTTGATTTTTCGAAAGTCGTTCCGATTGACTTAAAATGATATTATCAGAATTACGATAGAACAACAATTGTAATCAGTGTTGGTTTATGCCAGGAGCTTACACTGTCTTGATAGAACACGTTAGATGACTACTTATGAAAGCTCTTCATCGGTGAAGAAGGAGGTGAAGATGAAAAGAGAGGAGATGACGAAGTAGAAGACGAAGATGGTGAATAAGATATTGAAGAAGAAGAAGGAGAGAAAGAAGAAGAAGAAGACGACGATGAAGAAGAAGAATAGGAAGAAGAAGAAGAAGAAGAAGAAGAAGAAGAAGAAGAAGAAGAAGAAGAAGATGAAGAAGAAGAAGAAGAAGAAGAAGAAGATGAAGAAGAAGAAGAAGAAGAAGAAGAAGAAGAAGAAGAAGATGAAGAAGAAGAAGAAGAAGAAGAAGACTTTTTTGACTTTTGAAAGTAAAACTTTATTTACAATACATATAATAATTAAAACAGATAAAAAAATAACAGTGATGCACTTAATATAATAAGTGTTTGTGAATCATATACCAATAATCAACAACAAGTAGTACGTAATACATGAGAAAGTAACCATTAAACAATTCATAAAAAAACAATAATTTCGACGGTAGAAATTGAGAAAAAACATAAATTGTACTAAACACTGATTACAAATGATTACACATCCATAGAGTGTTTCAAAACGATTAAATTATGGGAATTCATAACTTCCAACTATGAGCTTCTTCTCAAGACAAACTTATCACAAACAACAATTAAATCAACCATGTGAGATCAATATCATCTGAAAGAAAGAGTACATTATTGTACGACCATATCTTATGAAATAACACCAAATTGTTTTGTAATTTGTGAAATTCATAATCAAGAAGATGAAGAAGATGAAGATGAAGAAGGAGAAGGAGGAGGGGAAGTAGACAAATAATAACAACAACAACAACAAAAAGAAGATCAAAAGCAAGAACAAAAGAGAAACAAAAGAGAAGAAGGAGAAATCCTATCCTCACCTGTCGTTCTCTATTGGGTTGTAGAACGGTCGTATCATCGGTGTAGCCCCATGGATAAAGCCAGAGCTGGCCGTAGCTATGGAAGTCGAGACTGAGGTGGATGTCGGCCGTCTGGTTCTTCTTTGTCAAGAAATCTGTGATCCCCACCACCTCGATCTCGGAGGCTGGTCCCGTGCCACGATACTTGATGGAACATGACAACGGACTTGCTCCTTGGCCTACAAAACGCAAGAAGGGAATACATTTTTACTATCATTGTCGCATCTTCATCATCATCGTCGTCGTCGTCACTATTATCATCATTGACACCAGTATCGACCTCGTAGTGAACAACTTTATCGTCATCATCGTCGGCACCATTCTCACCATCGTCACAATTATCGTCACCATCATTTTAAATCATCATCACCATCGTTGTCATCCCCGTCATGCCAATGATAATAATGTTGTGGTGGAGTTGAGCTGACTGTTGCTTAGGAATTATGACGATGATGCCAAAATGATGAACCTTATTGTGCATGTCAACAGTATCCGTGACAACGATGATGATGATGATGCTCACTTTAATGCGGCAGTGGATAATATGATAATAATGATGATTATGGCGCTAATTATTACACTACTTTATTACACTACATTACACTACTATTTCCGAAAAATCGTTTTCGATAACCTTGTGAGTCTTCTGTTGATATATGTGAAATTAACAATGACGCATTACGTAACTCAAACATGAATTCTATAGGACATACAATTATTGTATGGTTTTAAAATTGCCCATGAGTTGATTTGTCGAAAATATTTGCGATCTTGTTTGATTCAAATGTTGAAAAAGAGAAGAAGAATTCAGCCTTAGTTTGAATGATCGAGGTAATCACCATTTTGTCTCATATTTCTTCATTTTCTCACCTCCCCATTTGTAATCGTAGTTTCTATTCAGGTCGGTGCCGACACAAAGATTACCAGGTGCCATCCGTCTGTTCTTGCGCCAGTTACGGTCCTGTGTACGTGCATGTCACCAAAAGAACAAGATAGAGGTTTAATGTTCATCTAATACAAATGGTATTCCGATAAATATGAGGTTGAGATCTTTTCTTTCTCTTTTGGGTTTGACGAGAGAGAGAGTGAGAGAGAGAGGGAGGGAGGAAGGGGAGGGGAGGGAGAGAGGGAGAGAGAGAGATAGGGTGAGAGAGAGAGAGAGAGAGAGAGAGAGAGAGAGAGAGAGAGAGAGAGAGAGAGATAGAGAGAGAAGAGAGGGGGAATTTCAGTCGGCAAATTTTAAACTTGTATAGGCTGTCGATGAATCGCAAAAGTGAATGACCTCAAATTATTTATTAAAAATATGCTTGCTTGTTAGAACAATTTGTGGAACGCTTGTTGGTAAATTTGGTCTGATCTCACTCTTTATCAAACATGGTCTAGCATCGCCTCCGTCTATCTTGTTTGTTTGTTTCTTTTAAGCGTAATTTTGCTAAAATTGAAAGCCCAATTTTCTTTTGACGAGGCAAAAAGTAGGAAAGAGTATTTCTAAATCACTGCAATAACAAAAAAGTTTATTAATTTCTTTAAAAATCACATCAAGTCATTATCATCAAAGTTTTAGCATTCAAATAAACTGTATATATAATAAAAAGACTGTATTGCAATATTATTTATTGAATGCGGTCGACTTACATTGGTCCATGTATAGATATAGCCATCTACGTTGAGTACAGGGACAATATACCAGTCTAGTTTGTCGAACATTTCAGTTACAGTAGCATCTTCACCGTATGCCTTCAGAAGCTGAGAAAGATACAAGATGGCGTAGGAAAATCCATGAGTACTTGCTTGTACAATGGTTAACAGGAAGGAATTACGGGGGATGAGTTGGTCTAGCGGTAATGTTCGTGGTACGATCATCTCTATGTCTACGCCTGCAAACTAACTCAGCGGATTTTATGTTCATTTGTGAGAGAACTGTGGTATATGAGTGATGTCTCTTTTAATCAAATCAAATCAAATCAAATCAATCTCATACGAGACGTCCCGGGTTCGATCCTTGCTCAGTGATTACATCTTTGGACAAGATGGTTCGCCCACAGTCGTCCCTGTCGACTTAGCTGTATCAAATTCTCTGGCAGTGCTTTGGTAATAACATACAAATTATTTTTCAATATCTTTAGGGTGGGGCGGGGGGGGGGATACGTGCCCTCCATGCCTTTCTGCGGAGCTACGCCACTGACAGTTATGTTGGATTCATTTGAAGTAAAAATCATAGAGATCGTATTGGATCTCTATGGGTGAAATCGAATCGAATCAATTATTGGAACACGATGACAAATCTTTTTAAAAATAACTTAAGATTGTAAAGAGAAGAAGAGTTATCATATTGTCGAAATTGAGACATTCTGGTTTACCTTATAAGTCATGAACATAACAGTGGCTGGGCTGACCCATTCCCTGGCGTGTATTCCCCCTTGAATGTAGGCGATTGGCTTCGGGTTTTCTGATGGTTTCCCAATCTGCAACATTCAAAGAGAAGAAGTATCATGACTTTATATTTACGTTATGTTTTTTCAATGCTAACTCAACAACCCGATGTTTGAAAAAGTATTCAAAAATATAAAGACATGAGACAAAAAAGTGTATTTTATATTTTCGCTTTAGTACAATTTATATACAAAACAAAGACTGACATTTTAGTTGAGACATTATTAAACAGTGTGAGAGAAAATAACAAATACTAAATGTAGTGCTCAGTGAAATAAGCTATTTGAAAATATCAGAAAGAAGCAAAAACCAGCAAGCAAACATTTATGAAGATTTGCAATGCAAAGTTATACAATCACTGATTTTTTTAAAATTTGTTTTAATACCCCATACAAGTATCACATAGTAATGTAATCAAAGAAAACTCATGAACGCGGATGAAAAATATATATAATCGGAAACGCAATAAAACACATGAAGATTATGAGTGAACATTAGAGAACAAAATGAATTTCCAAATTAAAGCAAATGAATGTTAATTCTAATTGTATTTTAATGAACCAAATTTTCATTGATTTCTCTTTTGAAAGTATAATTTTGCTAATTATTTGAAACTGCTTGTACATGTACCTTGAGCCCCCTTACACGTTTGCCTTCATGTGTTGAACTAACCGCCTCCACGCTAACCAGATTGCTGTACTGGTCTGCAACATCATCAATCCATGCATCAATCTAAAATGGAAAAGGAGACCAAACAGGATTGAAAACAAGTCCTCATTAAACGTCTAATTTGCAAAGTGTCATCCTTCTTGTTTCTTGATACATTTCCTTTTTAATTCAATTCAATTCAGGGTTGGCAAATATCTGGGAAATACCTGGGAAATACTAGAAAAATACTGAATAATACCTTGGACGTACTGGAAAATGCCACATTCATGCGACCGTTTGTTTGAAAAATGATTTTTAACAAAAAATCAAATCAAAATTAAATCTACTCGCATAAAATTAAATTGAATCAAAACATATATTATATCAAATCAAATCAGTTTTTTTCACCTCTTCAAAAGTGTGATATATAGTGTAGTCGAATTTGTCGAATTCGGTAAGTGACCGTGAAGGTAGATTCTGAGACAGTGACTCGTTTTCAATCAGCTGCTGGACATCATCAATCTGCAATAAATCATGTATAAAATAGTTGAAGATTAATAATAATAATAATAATAATAATAGGCATTTGTATAGCGCCGTCTATCCAGACAATGCTATTCCGAGGCGCACAAGAAAAATAGAAAGAATGAGAAAGTTTGGACGAAAAAGTTCGGATGAGTGTCATAGTGCCAAGTACAGGTATTATTAAAAAAGATTGGTAGACATTCGCAAATTTACAAAGGTACCTGTATGAAGACTGCATGTTGATTGTAATATTATAATATTATGACAGACGAGCCTGAAAATGGTATCTTACTATTGAAATAGGTTCATCGCATTCCTGAAAAAATGTGCTTACCTTGTAAATACTGTTTTAAAAAACGTGCTAGTAAATTTTGTTAAATTCTCTCTCTCGAGTTCAACTACTTCTTAATCCTTGCTCATATGTTCTTAAATGTTATTATAAGGCCTATTGGAGAAGGGGCTACGGCCCACAAGACCGACATCAACAAGACCGACAGCTTTGTTATTATTGGTATTACTATCATCAGGCGCGTACGCAGGGGGGGGGGGGGAGATTTCGGGTTGTGTGTGTATGTTTTTATAGAACCCCCCTCCCCCTTAACGAAACAATGTCGATCGGTCAAATTTTGAAATTGCGGGACCAAATAAAAAAATATATATGTCCTCTTACCCCCCCCCCCCCCGCTTTATTCAGCGACTGGCTGAGTCGTTGCAAAATCTTTGGCCCGATTTCAAAATATTACCCCCCCCCCCTTGAAAAAATCCTGTGTACGCCACTGACTATCATCATCATCATCATCATCATCATCATCATCATCATCATCATCATAATTATAGTATTATTATCATCATTATTATCATAATTATTATCATTATTACCGGCATTATTATCATCATCATTATTACCCTTAATATATGATAAAAATCCTACCATGATCGATCGTTGAATGCCAGCATATGTTGCCATGATGACAACATCTTCCAAGTCGGCTGGTCGAGGAGGTATCATGATGTCCACGTGGTGGCCCACTTTACTCGGTTCTTTCCAGACGTCAAGCTGTAATGTAAAATAATTAAATAATTGCAAAGATAATTACAAGAACATAATGATGATGATATTGATAATATAAAGTGATTGTAGTTGAGGAAATGATGATAATGGTAGTATTAATTATAATACTAATGACACTACTATACTATTACTTCTACTCAGGCGCGTACACAGGGGGGGGGGGGGTGTTTGGGGCGTTAAACCCCCCTCTTTGGTATTTTTATGTGTGTAAACCGTCCCCATCACCCCCTGAACCTCCCCCCTTTGGATTTTTTTTTTTAATTATTAAAAAAAAAAAAAAAAAATATTCCCATGGCTGACCTAAAAAGGTGACCTAACCCCCCCCCCAAACGGAGCTAAATGTCACATTTTCAAATTTCGAGACCAAAAAAAAAATGTCCTCTTACCCCCCCCCCCCCCCCCCCCGCGCTTATTCAGCGGCTGGCTGAGTCGTTGGGAAATTTTCGGCCCGATTTATAAATGTCAAAACACCCCCTTGAAAAAATCCTGCGTACGCGCCTGCTTCTACTACTACTACTACTACTACTTCTACTTCTACTACTACTACTACTACTACTACTACTACTACTACTAATAATAATAATAATAATACTACTACTACTACTACTACTACTACTGCTGCTGCTGCGGTTGATACTAATACTAATACCACTACTACTACGCGTAGTACTATTACTACTACTACTACTACTTCTAAGTACTACTACTCGTATTACTACTACTACTTCTATACGACGACTACTACTACTACTTATAAGTACTACTACTATACTATTACGACTACTACAACTATTTCAACTACACTTCTATTTTGAAGACATAATTATGTTTGCAATGGGATCGGTTGGTGTTTTTGAGTAACGATAAAGAGTATCAAATGTTTTCTGTTTGAAACCTAGAACAATAACAAGAGTATTTACATCATGTCTGCTTGCTATGAAATCGTTCAGACATTCCAGCTCTTCTTGACTTTTCGGTACCATCCTGATAACCCGAAAACTGTTAGGAAAGGATTAAAAAAAACATGATTACATACTGGCGGAACAGCAAATTTGAAAAAGTGGTTTTATTTCACCAAATGTTTTTGTATGTTTTTATGTTTTAAAATTTTCTTTAAACAAAAATTGATAACAGTTTGAATAGTATCAGTAAAGTAATTACCATTGATTCTCGCCTATGTATAAGCTTTTCTTGTATATTGAACTGGCCAAGAGATGTCAATAATAAAGGAGAGGAAATAATGCAAACCTATAGATAAAAAAAAAAAAAAAAATCGGCGAGGTGGCACCTACAGCGATTTCCTACTCATTTTTATCAAAAATAATCAGGAAGCGATTTCATGGATTCAGGAATATATTCTCGTTGATTGTCAAGGTTGTACTGACCCTAATTGCTTGGTGATCATGGCCGACCTTGGGAATTGTATATCCATTGCTATTTCGCAAAAACCCAAGCATCGACCAAAACTGAAGGTTTTGTGGTGGTATTGTTTGCAAAAATCAACGATTCGATGCAGCTACTGTGACTGTGTGCATGACAAGTTATAAGTCGTGTCGTGTTGATTATTTTGCTTGCTTATTTTGGATCACCCCTCTAAATTGAAAATGTTTAAACTTGAAATATGATACATATTCTAAAAAATCAAGTCAAATAAAATTCATCCCAAATACGGTATGGTAACGTCGTTCTGAATAATCTATATTATTAGGGACTTTTAGATTTGCGTGGACTGATACGTGTGACGTCCATTCAAGGCAGTACATTAAAAGGACGTCGATCGTAGCAATCCACGTTGTCGTTGTGCAAAGCTAAAAGTCCCTATTGTGAGCTGGACTTGTACTATTGCCATGTACATTGCTCAAAGTGGGTGACTCGCAATTTCTTTACTCTGATTGTGTCTATTTAAAAGCATTTTTTGCTCATCAAAAACAAAATCAAAGTCGTTTTTCTGAAAGCAACCATTCGGACTTGTGGGCAAGATGTATACTTTGCTAAATTTTCAACAACAAAAAATACTTGTAATCCACTTGTAATAGCAAATATAACATCCGCAGGGTTTTCAGAGGAACGTAAAAATGTATGTTCTTTGTAAACCTTCATCGACTGACAAACCATCCTGGAACACACCTGACACAGCTGTAAATATCACATTTAAATATCAATAGGTTGTTGAGGTAATATTGTTTGAAAGCATACCATTGCGGATAACTGCAGTTGAATGCCTTTACCATACCTTAATTGACCCGTTGCATTCTAGTACACAATCAATAGGCGAGGAAACGCATGCACAGACGGTATTTGGAAAAGTAATTCTTGCTGTTTCAACTCGTTATTCACATTCACATGATCACGCATCGAATTTGTATACTTCGTTTGTAAATTATAACATGAGACAAGCTTTTCCTACTTACTTGTCATAGCGAACCTTTCCTCCATGGGGCTTGCCGTGGGCGCCAAATTGGTACAAGACGACTGCCACGCAAGTGAAGCCTAATAGATGGCTGATCCCCATGGTATGACGTTCAGGAGTCGACTGAATTCATCGATATCTGGACAGTCAGTTTTGCTTGCGATTGTTACTAACGTTCAGGGGCGGCGATTTCTTTTCATGACTGGGGGGACGAAATGCGAGGAACGAGGGAAGAGTGACGTAATGAGCAAAAACGTTTTTTTTGGGAGGAGAAAAAAATCCGCATCATCACCGCTCTTACATGTTACATGCAGGCCCCGCGGAACGTTTTTCAAGGTGGGAGTGGGGGGGGGGGGGGCTAAAGTATTTGCGATCAGATAGAGCAAAGCAAGTGGGGCGTAAATTGGCGTGGGGTCCAGGGGCGGAGCCCCATGAAGCTCAGAGTTTTTAGGCATTTAATAAGGGTCAGATGAGCATATTTTGATACCTTATTTGTGACACTTGCATGCAGGTCACTAATCTGAGTGGGGTCCAGGGGGCGAAGCCCCCAGAAGCTCAGCGGATGTAGGCATTCAATTACGATCAGATGAGCATCTAGGGGCCGCCTTAGGGCCCTTGGTGGAGTCTAAGGGCGGAGCCCCCGGAAGCTCAGGGTTTTAGGCTTTTGAATATGGTCAGATGAGCATCCAGTGGCCCGCCGAGGGCCCTGGTGGGGTCCAGGGGGCGGAGCCCCCGGAAGCTCAGGTGTTTTAGGCACTTAATTGTGGTCAGCTGAGCAACCAGGGGCCCGCCTTAGGGCCCTTGGTGGGGTATAGGGGCAGCAACATTTGTAAATTAGTCACTGGTGTCGAATTAGAAAATGAGTTTTATCGGGAGGGGGGGGGGGGGACTGCCCCAAGCCCGAGTGAGTGAGCATAATTAATGAGAGGGGTGAAGGTGACGAAAATGATTACCCCCTCATGGGTTTTGAAGTTTTGTTGTATTACAGAATTATATTCCTTAGCAAAACTATAGTATGAAAACAAATAATGTACTGTTTTCACACTTCACTTTTCTACAATATTTACTTGTACATTATGAAGGATATTATGCGAGGGAGCAAAGAAGATTTTCGCATTTTTATTTGTCCAAAGCCTCCAAAGCCTAATAGTGTGTTACAGTCTTTAGTCCGTATTTGCTGTACATTATTTTTGTGCACTTTTTCAAATTTTCTAGGGGGGACGATTCCCCCCCCCCCCCCCCCCCTACAGAACGCAATTGCATAAATGAGTTGATGCTGTTGATGAGGTGAAGGTTTCCCATGAATAAAATAGATTTCTCTATCGCTATATTTTAGTATTTTTAAATAAATGAGTTTCGATTGTTACCCTATATTCACCAAAAGTACTTTTTACCTTCTCGGCTATGATTTTTCCTCATTGAAAAGTAAAGGTTTTCTTATTGGAATAAAAAGTCTTTCCAATTATAGCTTGGTGCATGATACATGTACAACTTTAACTGCACGTCACATTTTCAAGAAAATGGCGGCGCCCATGCCATGCTAAAAGGCATTACATCATGCCAATAAATCTTCATTTATATATCTCTTGTTCACTTTCGTAAGATTAAATGTACATCAAAGGGCAGGAACACATCTCGTTTTTTCAGAATACCTACACTTATTCTTTGGGGTTAGTTCTCCTTAAACAACATAAAACTCATACTCTCTTCAATGGTACACAACAAAAGGTTGTCTGGGGAACCACTTCTATCTTTACGGGTTGGGTGCAGGGGCAGAGCCTTTGCCGGAAGTCTAGGGGCGGGTTCATTTAGGTAAAGCTCAGAAATGTGAGCCAAGCCATTAAAGGAACGCTATTTAAAAAATAAGTGTTATCACTCTTTTATTTATGTCCGCTTACATATATATTTATCCCTATCAGCCCGTACTCATCTTCCCCTTTTTCTCTTTGGTGTATACTACGAACGAGAATTTCAACCAGTCATAATCATAATAACATGAAGATATCGTAATTACACATAAAAATATAATACATCTAAATAAGTCAATTCCTGTTTTACAGATCATTCAAATATATATCAAACAAACTCATGTGTTGCAAACACAGTCTCGATGTTATTTCAATCCCAGGTTATTCTGGAAAAATGTTAAAATTTAGGTTTAGTATTACAAAAATGCATATTAGTTGACCCAATAATTTCAAAACGGGTGTGTATCGATTAATTTTGCAAGATTACTTAAAACCTGCTTTTTTAAAGTGATTTGTTACATTTAATATCCAGCAATCATTTTAGGATAATCACCAGTAAAAGTGATGATTAAAGACTTCTCCTAGCTTGACTGTCCCACTTCATCCGGGGTTTATTATAGCCCTCCAATTCTTTCCATTCAAGACCTCTTTTTAAAGATAATTATTAAATTCTGGTCATACAACTGCAGTGTGAAAGCTACTGGAAACGTTAATCATGTAGCACATAAGTATTGGCGTTTACTGTGAGGATTTGGAATCCTCAAAATGATAATAAACTGGCTCAGTTTGGCTAAGAGTCACATGCATTGTACACAAACATCTTATGTGACTACACAAAATTATATGTGACATGAAAGTAGTGGCCCACAACCTTTAGCTGTTACTTTTCATATTTCAAATATGTGGGAATTCGAAGAGCTATCCTAACATGTTTTCTATGATACTCTTCCACACTAAAATAAAAATAATAAAAAAGCTCAAAAATTATTGTTCCCCCTTCCGAGAACTCAACCTTCTCTTTAAACGACCAATATCATTATGTAGCCTAGTATGAGTGTTACATACCATGTGAAAATGGGAAGGCTGCAAGAAATATTTAAAGAGTTATAAAGTGAAGTCTCGCCTCATGATTTGTTTTTATACTTCATCCCGTTCTCTCATAATGTGTGTGCGTAAGTGGGTGTGCGCATGTGCGCATATCATATTTTACGGTATGTGCTTTTCTTTGTATTTTGTGAATGCTGGCAAAGTGGTCCGGAACCAAACACGATATTCTACTTCAATGATCCTAAAGAAAAAACGAGGTAAGATAGTTTAAAACTTAAGACAAAAGAAACAAACAAGAAACAACAACAATAACAACAACACAAACGATAACAAGAACAACAAATAAAAATGGACCGAGAGGTATCGATCGTTGATACGCATGAAGTGGAGTAAAAAGCAGATTTATCATTGGAATGAACGAGTCAACACAACAAGAAGGTAACACTATAACTTATCCATTAAAATGTATGTAACATCCAACTCATAACGCGTTAGACAATAACCACAATGAACAAATGTATAATCTTCTCATCATTTGTTTTTAATCACGGACCTCCTAAGAGTACATTTTGACGAATTTAATGAACATAATTTCAGGTGGATTTTGTGTGTGTACGTTTCAAGTTGTTTGTTGTCATATTTCTGTATATTTGGGAGAGTCCCAGATATTTTGTACTATCTCACCAAATATATCAGTAGGCCTGAAGGTTATCATGAAGTTGATAGCCATTTTTTATCTGATATTAGATCAAAATGATATCAAGGAAAAAAACAGTTTCAATTTTGATTTTGCTTTTCATTCTCGATATTAGTGTTAACGAGTCTCTAACATATTGCAGAGTAAATCGTTTTGGTTAAATCAATATATTTCAAACGTGTTACTAAATAATATCGTATGATCTAAATCATATTTTTGTTTTGTTTAAGACGTGTACGTCTCTAAGCGTATTTCTTGACGAGCTCAGTGCCGAGTGCCTTCATGCCTGCATAGATCTCCTCAGCAGTCGGGTTGATCAGTGAGGTCGGGAGCAGGAAGCCATATCGCCCTGTGTCTCGGAGCTCGACCACGTAGCTGTATACCACACCGAGCGAGCCGTAACCGTAGTCTTCGCTGGCCCCGCTGGCTGGGTCTGAAAAGTTCGTGATATTATCAGCAGTTTGTGTTTAGTCCTCCATTAGTTTCTCTATCGGAATAGGGTATTGGGGAGGGGGGGGGGGGGGGTGGAGGGCAAATGAGGGGCAATTTTCGAAAATAAATTTCCAGGAATGCTCTGACCACTCATATTCATATTTCCTACCATGCACTCTATCTGGGAGAGCTGGCAGGACTTTTGAAATCATTAAAAAAAAAAAAAAAAATCATAAAATCATTATAATCGGGATATCTAAAAGAAGAAAAAGAAAAAACGAAAGAAAAGACATGCCCTTTAAAAGTTCTAGACTATAATAGGGTCCACTTCATTCGCCGGGCAGGCACTTTATTTCTTTATTTTGAAAACAAGAATAGGGAGGGGGCGAGGGAGGAGTTCAGCCCCCAGGCGCGGATCCAGGATTTCTTAGGGGAGGGGGCCGAAAAGTTGCTCAGTGGGGGGGGGGGGGGGGGGGGGGGGGGGGGTACAGAGCACAATTTTTTTTTTTTTTTTTTTTTTTTGCTCCCGAAAATTTGAAAAACGAACCGGCCAAAAATTCGCTCAGGGGGGGGGGGGGGGGGGGGTAGTGAGCACATTTTTTTTTTGATCCTCAAAAAAAATTCAATTTGCACCCCCCCCCCCTTGAGTGCCAGGGGGGGGGCCCAACCCCCCAAAAAGGTAAAAAAAACACGTGATTTCACATGATTTTTTTCTCAAGGGGGGGGGCCGGGCCCCCCGGGCCCCCCCCCCTAGATCCGCCACTGTCAGCCCCTCTGACTCCCCTCTCCCGTAGTACTTACACATATCAGGTCCGGATTCTCCGACGTCGTATGGCTTTCCATTCGCATTAATGGCTGCCTCAGTAATATCGGCCACTCTTCTCTGTATTAATAAGACGAAAGACAGAACAATAGAACAGCTCCTAATACCAATAGACCCAAATAGATCTTTTAAATTTGGAGAAGTACCATTCTGTGCATTAAGAATATAATCCCTGGCAAAGTCATGGAAGCGCTGCATGAATAAATTTCGTTTGCCTTCTTGACAAGAATACTTCCGCCTGTGCATCATTGAAATAATATAAGTGCATAAACGATAAATTATTACATTTGAACGCGCGCTGAAAACATAACAAATCAATAAATAGATTGAAGATAAATAAATGAATACAACTTTTAGAATGAGGTCATTTAAAAAAAAGTAAAATCTTTAAAGGGAATCTCAGTCTTTGTTATGAGTTTATAGCAGAAAATAGGAGAAATGAAATACCGGACTACTGGGACGTATTCACGGACAACTGTCCTGTTTGTTGTCTAACAAAATATAATTGATTTCAGGTTTTGTTCCCATTTCACCATTTTCCCTCGAGGCAGTATTAAAATATTATGGATATATTGTTATAGGTCATCAGAGAAAAGACTTTCCGACTATACATTCTTCCAAGCTGGCTTAAAACGACCGAGAAAGCTCACAATTTATCCTTTACCAGAACCCATATTTGTCACTAATTATTCCGACAATAGTGTAGGTCCTACCTGCTCAGTCCTATCTGGATTCCAGATTACCGAGCCCGTGTGACCCCAAGGATGGAGCCACAATTGACCGTAGGCGTGGAAGTCAATGAAGAGAACAAGATTGTTCTTCTGAGGCAGCAAAAAGTCGTTCACTCCTGAGGTTTCTGGCTCGCTTAACGCTTCTGTTCCTGGATATGTGTCGTCACAGAAATTTCGTTCTGTAATATTAAGAAAAAAGGAAAAGAGAATGGAACAGGAAATGTGAATCCTCTTCACTTTTGTTGTTTTTGTCACATCAGAAGCCAGATGAGGATAAACAGTGGAAGTGAGATATCTCCCAAATCCAAGTAGAACTATTATTTTAGCCGAAATATGATAATTTATTTTGTAATTTCACCGTTGCCCTTAAAGTTTGATTTCATTTTCATTTTCTCTTTTCATGTAATGATTATGACAATCAAAATGATTATGATTGATTCGTGATATACTACGTTCATTCATCCTCATAAGAGTCTTGGAGATTAATCAATAAATCTCAAAGAAAAAACAAATCAATTAAAACAATTGATAGGCAGACTTACTCTTCCACATGTGATCAAAGTTTCTATTGAGGTCCACTCCTTTACAGGTACCCACGGTGTGTCGATTCTTACGCCACATACGATCTGTCTAAATAGAGAATAGAATAATAAAATAAAAAGAACAGATCAATATAAAAGGGGCATATTACTGGATATTATACATTGCTTACGAATTTATCCGTCTTTTTCTTCTTCTTTCCACGTTTTCATGTCTAACGAACCATCGGAATAACAAAACTTTGGAAACATGAACCTTAAGAATGATAAACAATACTATTTTAATCAGGGGCAGCGGGACATATTTTAAAAATGGAGGGGCACACTGTAAAGGGACACTTCTCAAGACTGAATACGCCACCCCTCCCCGCGAATACCATCATATTTTGGTCATACTGATATAATAATTCTGATCTAAGATCCATAAATTGATTTGGATTTTATCCTGACATCAAGTTGGTTTCAATGAAATTCTATACATCACAATCAATAATTAATCTTTAACGTCGACATCAATCACACACACACACACACACACACACACGCACAGCACTCACCCATTCCGAAACATATACACCTTCACGCACCCACACTCACAAACCTACACCTATATCCGCACACTCACGCACATACCGAAACACATACAGAAATTGTTTAAAAAATGACTTCACAGTCAAGGAGCTGTCAGTTTAATTTATCAACTAACTTTTGCAAGTAATACTCACTTGGGTGTACTTGTATCCATCGATGTTGAGGACGGGTACAATGATCCACACAAAGTTATCCAACATGCTCTTTACTGTCGAGTCTGTGTCGTAATCCTCAGCAAACTATTATATAGATTGAAAAAAGAAACAAAGGCATTGATATACATTTGCCACTCTATACCCAGGAGTAAAATGGGGACCTGGTAGGATGACGAAAGCCTTTTGTGTTGGTAATAGCCATAAACGCCCATTGTGCTCATACGGTAGGAATACTCCCCAGGGAGTGGAGATGGTGTACACTGTGCGTGAATGAATTCAATGACGGGGTGATAATAGTTTTTATAAAGCGCTTAGAGACGCTATTCCATATTAAGCGCTATATAAATCCAGATTTATTATTGTTGCTATTACTATTAATATTATCATTATTAAAGTTATTATTTATACCATAATCATTGTTATTAATATAAGATGTTTGTTTTAAAGTATACAAAATAACCCTAAGTCATTTTTGGAATTACGATACTTCCGATACCATGAACCACATTTCCTCTTATCACTATCAGCCCTTGTTCTCTTTTGGAATTACGAATGGTCAGAATAATGAACCCTATAATTATCATTTTCGGAATGGCAAACTTTCGAATAAAACCAACGTTGAGAACAATCAAACTTTGGAGTAATGCAACAATTAATGTTCAGAAATGTAAAACCCCATTGCATTAAAAAAAATATATGAACCCCTTGGTATGGACATTTATCGTTCGGAATCATGACACTTTGGAAATACATGTACAAACCTGGGGAAAAACGTCATGCAATTTTGGAAAAAACGAGTGATCTTTGACCACTCGTAGGCTGTACTTACGAACTTCGCCATGTACATCATGGTAGCAGGACTGACCCACTCTCGAGCATGGATACCACCTTCGATGTAGGCTATCTTTTTAGCGGCAAAATTCTTCTTGAACTATATCGGGATTGAATGAACATAATAAATAATAGTGATAATAACAACAACAACGGTAATAATAATTATGATGAAGATGATAGCAATGATAATGATGATGATGATGATAATAATATTGATAACAATTCCCCCCCCCCAAAAAAAGAATTAAATCTTTATCTTATAATTGAGCTTAACATGATCTTTAGGTAAGATCCCAAACAAATTGCGAAGGAGCGAAGCGACGGTACTTGGAAATGTTCGAATTAAAAACAAAAACAATTCTACATTGGCCTAATTTAACGCTGCTATTTGGGGGCGCACAAATACATGTATTCATTGCATTTCTTCCTTTCTCTCTTCTGCAGTCTTATGCGACCCTTTTCTTTTAAGATTGTTGATACCCTCTGAGTGCACGTAAACACGCCACTAATATTGTTTTGTCTAGCAGTTTTTCTTCCTCTGACATTTTAACATCTGACATTTTGCAACGAATTCTCATAAGGCATTAAACGCAAAGAATAAACGTCCTAATAATTGGGTCTATAATCATTACACGTGGCTCGAGAGAGAATACATTATCAAAACCGCCTTCCCCTCGGTTTTATGTAGGCTGGGATTGGAACCACAACCTGGTGTTGAATGTAAAAAATATATATGTTCCTACCTGCAGACCGTAAACAGTTACACCCTCGTAGGTCTTGGAGACCTTTATTTTGGTAACTTTACTATTCTGACTGACGAAGTCATCCATCCATGCGTTAATCTGTCGATTTAAACAATGGTATTTGTCAATATTAGAAAATTGTTATTTATTTTATACCATACCATACCATTTAGATTTAATTCCATTTCATTAAGTAAATTTCAAATGAAACATAAAAGTAAAATACTAGTATGTACTAACACTACTACTACTATACTATACTACTTCTACTACTGCTACTACTACTACTTCTTTTAATACTACTACTACTTTTACTACTACAACCTCTACTACTAACCATGATAATATATAAGACGTACAAGAAAAAGAAGACGAAAGAAGAAGAAGAACAAAAAGAAGAAGAAGAAGAAGAAGAAGATGGAACACTATCTTTGATAAATCAGCTGTGAACTCCCTTTGCACCAACTTGTAGTCAAAGACTTTACCGTCCATTTGGTAATAATTAAACTAAATATATTTTGAGTAGAATATGAGAAATCATGGATCGAAAATCAATTTCCTAATATTTTCAAAAATCTCAGCGAACTTTGGTCACCCCCATCGTACAGGTACAGTGAAGGGGCGCATGTGAAGTATCACTTATTGCCCGGGGTTCAAGTCTCAAGGTTATTTGTTTCACATTTCACCAGAAAGAGTTCACATAATTTAAACAATTGGGACATAAAATGAAATATACTAAAAGTAACACATTATATAATCAATTCTTTGTAAAACGTCGAAATTAATTGTATTGAATAGTAGGTTATACAGGGTGACATGTGAGGGTAATAGTATGTTCTCTAGATAAATCCTACTGATTTGTATTATAGAGAACAACGATTGTATTTATTCATGTAATCACACATACCTCGTCGTATGTATGGTATTCATCATAGTTGAAACCGGCATTTGGCCTGACCCGGGTCATTTCTGCGGCCTCCTCGTCAATTCGCTCTTGCACATTGGGAATCTGAAAACAAGTTATTGTTGTTATTATTACAAGAGGATTTGTAAAGTGAACATAATCTGGTATTTCGACAATTATGACAATAATAATGAATAATTATATCAAATAATAATAATAATAATAATAATAATAATAATAATAATAATAATAATAATAATAATAATAATAATAATAATAATAATAATAATAATAACTATGATTAAATTGATAACAAAAGATATTACAAAACGTTTTCTTGACATGTGAATTAAAAAACAAAAACAATTAGATATAGTGTAAAACATCACATTCTCAGAACCCTTTGTTGAACTTCATGTGAAATTCATGAAGTAAAACGAAAGTGTATGTTATAGACAAACAAACAACAAACAAAGAATCAACAGTAGAACTTTTCCGCAAGAGAAATTAGTTAGGTATATCAATGTCAATCCTCTTTCGTGTGATCTCTGGGAGAAAATATTCAAAGTATAAATGATCCAAATATTTACCTTTTTAGTCCATTGAATGAAAGATCGTTTGTGATCTACAAGTGAAAGGTGTATACTGAATGTATGTAAAAAAATAAATCTGTGATAACAGATGAATAACTGACTATGATTATGTCGGCGTGTTGCATTGAAAAATTAATATATTCATAATACAACAATTGCACCAGCAACAACACCAACAACAACAACTACTACTACTACTACTACTACTACTACTACTACTACTACTACTACTACTGCTACTACTAACACCAACAATAATAATCAATATTATCATTACCCATGTTTCGATGGAGAGTCCAGGTCGGCTTACGGATTCCAAGAAGTCGAAGTCGCGATCGGGTGACACCATGATGTCGACAGCTCTTCCGACCTTGCTTGGGGGTTGCCAGAAATCAAGCTGAAATTTTGTTTAAATAATAACGAATTATTATATAGTTAAAATTATTATTTTACTTTGAAACAGAGTTATCGGTCTTCTGGCTCTGAACAGACAACTCGAGGGCACAGCAACCAGGAGACCCTATGGCGTTAGTACTATCCATGGACTTCGAATGATCGAGGAAGGTGCCTATACCGAATGTGTGCCGAACCGGGGACCTTCCGATGGTACAGCCAAATACTGGTTTGTCCTTCTACTGCTACTTAGTAAATACAATGATGTGAAATTGACTTGCTTTTACTAGTGATAGAAAGTACCAACAAACTACCAATACGTAAGAAAATGCATAATTAGGACTGAATTCAAATAGGTTTTTAATTAATATTTAAGTCACATGAACCTAGAAATTAAATTTGGATTAGTGAAAGTTTTACTGCCTTAACTGAATCACCCTTTTGGGTACAACTCGAAACAAAAGGTTATTTTGTATAATACAGTCGGTACACGTTTTGTGATGTCACAATACACTGAGGTATAATATCGAATTAAAGGCTGGCTCACATAGTAGCGGCAAAGACGCCGCGAAAGGCGACGGACGTCAAAATCACAACATTTTGGCGGCAAAGCGACGACAAAAGGGGAAAACCAAGATTCGCTGACGGGTGGGAACGACCTTCAACGACAACAAGACGGCAAGGGACGAATGACTGCGGCAGGGAACGGAGTCTAGCGACCAAAATCGGACGTTGTCTGGGCGGCGAGTGACGATGTCTCGACGGAGCCCGGCAACAAGGAATGAGGTCAGACGGCTGGCAGCGGATCGGCTGGCGGAAATGAACGGCGGCTGACGATAGGTTGCGGCGAGGCATATTCCAGCCTGACCCTAGCTACGTCCTCAATGATGATGAAACATCTTTAACAAAGAACAGTGGGACATTTTCTGTTTATATGAACTACAAAATTGCATCGTGCCGAACAGTCTATTGAAATCAAAGTGGCGTCACAAAACGTGAAAAACGTCACAAAACGTCACAAACGACCCGACTTCAACAGTCATCACCCGTCACCCTCCGGCCAAAATTCGCAATCCATCGTCGCACCAAGGTCGTTAAAATGTTGTCACTTGCTAAATTGTGTCGTCAGGGTGTAAAATGTGACGTCACTTGCCGTTGTACAACGACTACCAACGAAATTGTGACGACCTCAAAACGACTATAGAGACGGAATCACACGGCATGGAAACGTGAAGGAAATGAGGGTTGCGGTCTCCAACGAAATCTGAAGGGAATCACAACGATTTTTTTTTGCCGCCACACAATTTTCAACATGCTGAAAATTTGCCGGACGCGACTGATAATTTCGGCCGTCCGCAGTTGCTAGCGGATTCGTCAGCGACAATTGAAGGCAACACACGGTGATTGGCGGGAAATTCAAAATTGCAATTCGCAGCTTAACATAACTTGCATTACCCCCTATTCGGCATAGTGTGAGCCAGCCTTAAACTCGTTGATATGGAGAAAAACTCCATAATGCAAATAGAGTGAATCACACTCGCTGTCCACATGGCGTAGCTGGGAACTTTTTAAATCTTTTTTTCACCACTCGATTTGAGGGGGGGGGGGGGAGCACGTGCCACCCGTGCCTCCCCTGTAGCTACGTCACAGGGCATTTGGGTTTATATTTCATGATATGATATGCTGCTGTCATGTAAATAACAACATATATTTACATTTGTGGACTCATTCATTTCGATTAGTAATTCAATGAATAAATGTTATTAGTACATGTCTAAGATTATACTTCATGACAGTAAAATAGGTAAATAAATAATTTTGCTTACACGTTCCACTTGTTCTTTTACATCTTTGAGTCGTTGCAGTTCATCCACCGTCTGTGGAATTATACGGTAGACTTTGTAACTGTGAAAAATAAGCATAAACATGTAAACATGGCATGATCGGGGTAAAAAGGAAGTAAAAATGGAAGAGACTTACTGAACTCTTCGATACCCTTTTTACACAATTTTACAAGCTTGCACCTCATTTGACTTAATCAAGAATAATATAAAACACAATAGCAGTTCTGATTTAAAAAGAAGCAACACACGCTAGTAACTATCTTGATAAGAAATTGAATCCAGAACAGGGACGCCACAACACCATTCTAAACGGGTGCTGTCGGACCGGAGATTTATGAAATATTTCCAAGAAGCAAAAGAAAGAAAGAAAGAAAGTGATCCTAAATCTCCTTAATTTGTTGACGAAGATTTTGTATTTTTAATCGTCAATATGCTGATCGGATTTTTGAATGGTTACGGGTGGATGTTACACCCTTATCCCTTATGGCCTCTATAGTTAATACTTTCTGCACCAAAAATCAAAGAAACAAGAACAATATTCTTAATCGTGAAGTTGGACAAGTGGAAGAGGAAAAATCAAGGTACACTGAGCATGCACAATTTATTTAGTAAATAAAAAGGATTTCAATAATGAATACAAATCATGAATATTTAAACTGCGTGCATCCAAACAATTAGATGATAATGCCACTTTGATATTAATGAGACGTTTAGAAGAACACAAATCAGTAGAAAAAAGTATTTTACTTGTCGTAGCGAACTTTTTCGATGACCGGGAGCGCACTGCAAACAGCTACGCAGACGGCAACGAAGAAAAGACCGATCTTCATGATGATGACCGATATCTAGCCAAAATGAGTTCTCCCTGGCAATGTTGGCGCGAAAATGATTCTGATCAGACAGACGATGATTTAATATACCATGCATCATCATCGCGAGGAGACAATGATGACATATCAATAATTGATTTATGAGATGAGATAAAAAAAAAGAGGTGCCACGTCAGTGGATACATCACTAGGGATTCGTGTGCAAAGAGACAGTAAAAAGGACGCATCTGCCAATCTTAAAAGCATTCATAATTAAAGGTGGAATCACACCTTTGACGGGGCTCAATTTTTCGTTTCAAAAGGCGCTGTGTTAAAATAGAAGGTAAGGTTTAATATGAGACGGCAAAGATTAATATGCAGCTTTATAGTTCATGGTTTGCAAATCTCATCTAAGAACAAACAAACCCTTTTAAACTGTACAACTTACTGTTACACAGATTCCTGGGTAATATACCGTATTCAGAGAATAATTTTCATTAATAGTTAATTACTCAGTCTCCGCTTTAGCTGCATGAAGAAGTAAGAGTATTTGCACTTTCAGACCCTAAAGACGAACTGTCGAACTATAAAATTCACAGATGTTAGCTTTTTAGAATTATCATACTTAAATAATCAGAGTGCAGGTTGCATACAACAAATGTTGCTATGTCGGATAAGTTTTGAGAAATGTTAAGGTCGTAACTAGTTGCCAGTGTAAAGTATAAAGTAGAGGCATGCATTGAATTCTGATGCACTTTGTAAACTGATTTGTAATTTCTCTTTAAAAAGATAAAAAATGTGGACGTGCACAAAATTGGTTAGTTGATGTTTGATTTTGCGCACGTTCCTATGGATCACGTGCATATTTTAATATTTATGCGCATGCTGAGTGTTTTTAACTACACGGTCCCTGGGAGAACACGTCTGCAAGTCAGCAGGTCTACAATGAGAAAACTCTTCAAGTGAAACTAAAACGAAATACGAGTTTAGTTTGATCATTTTAATGACTGTATACACTATAAAATGCTACTTTTTGTGAACATGACACCACTAGACCTTGTTCACGAGCCCAACACGATATATAACGCGCAAGAACTGAAGCTAGTGCAATATCGTAATTAGAACGTGCTGATAAAATGACATTTTGGACACACTTCGTTTCAGCGTCATCACTTAGAGTTTCCGCGGAACAATTAATGTTGAGCACTGTCACAGGTGAAAAGGGTACGTTACCTGCAACACGTGTTATGCATGTGACCGGGAGAAGAAGAAGAAGATGAAGAAAGAGGAGGAGGAGAAGTGGGAGAAAAGGAAGAAGGATATAGGATAAGAAGAAGAAGAAAAAGAAAAAGAAGGATAAGAAGAAGAAGGGGAAGGAGAAGATGATGATGATGAAGAAGAAAAAGAGGAAGAAGAAGGAGAAGAAGGAGAAGAAGAAGGAACAAAGAGGAAAAGAGAAAGAGAAAGAGAGAGATAAAAGAGAGAGAGAGAGAGAAACATTGAACTCATATAGTCAGTTATCCATTCATCTCTATAGTCTGTCCTAAACACTACTACCCGATAATGACACATTCGTGTAATTTAATACTCAATTCTTTTATAATTTATTCTTCATAATTTATTTTTGACAAGTTTAATGTTAACATGCTATTAAGTTTGATTGTGTGTTTCTATTTTTATTGTATATTTTACTTCTTTACTATTTTATCGATGTAATACTTTATTTACAATCTCGGTCATAAAATCAAGACTATTTTTTTAAATTGGGGATACATCCCTGGACAGTTTTTTAAAAATCTTTTGCTGCAGCGACAGACATGTTTGTTATTTTACTGAATGTCTGAATAAATACAAATATAGCAAACAAAATAACACATGCTCATATTTTTGTTCACGAAATCTCACGTCTCGTGAGCATCACACTGTAAATATACGTGTCTATTTGTTAAAGGGCAAGTCCAACCTGATATTAAATTGGTTTTAACAAAAGCATATCAGTGAATTTGTGAGCAATATCCGATTAAAAATAGGTAAATTATGAACTTTTGAAGTTGTCATCAGTCAACCACAAATAGGCAACACTGTGTTATATCTTGAGAGCTCCTCTTCAATTTGCTCTGTACAAAAAAAAAATCATAAACTTTCATTATTTTAACTTATTGATGAGGGAATAGATTTGTTTCATACATTGGGTTGAATAAAAAATAAATTTAGGGTGAATGTATGATTGAAAATTTTCTTGAGGGAAAATAATTACACCTTTTTTTTCCTTCTTAGTACAGGAAAAATGGAAGGGGACCTCGTAAGATACGTCACAGTGTTGCCAATTTGTGTTTGGTTGATCGCACCTTCTAATCTTTATAACTTTCCTATTTCTAATCAGCTTTTGCTCAAAACTTTCACGAACCTGTTTCTCTCATTTTTCTGCTTCTATTGAAACCAACTTTACATCAGGGTGGACTTCCCTTTTAATAGGTTGAAAACTAGTTGAGCAATTTCTATCCATCACGATCTGTTCAGGATACGGCCACGAAGTCTGCTGAGCTTAGCACGACATGGATATCGTATCCGGACACCTACCCCCTGGACAGCCCCCCCCCGTATAACCACCCCCAGTCAACTACCCCCTAGGACAACTACCCCCTAGGGCAACCACCCTATAGGACGACTACCCCCGGTGCAACTACCCCCGTACAACTACCCCCGGACAACTACCCCCCAGACAACCACCCCCTAGGATAGTTGTCCGTGGGGTAGTTGTCCTAGGGAGTAGTTGTCTGGGTGTAGTTGTCCGGGGGTAGTTTTCCCGGGGATTAGCCGTCCTAGGGGGTGGTTGCCCTAGGGAGTAGTTGTCCTAGGGGGTAGTTGATTGGGGTGGTTATCCGGGGTTGATGTCCAGGGGATAGGTGTCCTAGAACCCATGGCTTTGTGTTAACCTACCGGAGCCTAAACTATTTAAACATGGTTATTGAAATCGTGATAGTCGGACAGAATCATTATGGTGACTGCAAACAAGCTCGGATTATGTATGCTTATCTTTCCATAAAAATCAAACACCGTAAGTATACACTGATAATGCTTTCTAGTTTATATTTGTTAATAGTATTACTGCGATTTTAATTCACTCATTATAAAACTATAATACTCTTTAACCAATCTCCGAACAATCCAAGAGGATTTGACGACAATTCTGACATATGTCTTCGCGGTCTGTAATCTCAAAAACAATACCCGATCAATTAGTTTAAACAAACAATTATGACGAACAGCAGAAATTGCTGAGGTTGCAATGTTTCAATTTAGGTTGCAAGCTATGAGCCAGAAAGGTATTATCTCATATCGCATTAAGAGGAGTTGACGCCATTTTTACTCTCAACAGTCGTATCTCTCTTGTGGAAATTGAACAGCTGTAATGCGTCAATATTGTTGTCACGACTCCCTGTTTTTTTGTCTCCACAAAGTTCATTGACATTTGTATAGACTGGTCAAGTGAAAATCGTCAACGTATAATGAGCATTATCAGGCATAAAACATTACAGTCAAGGGTGCGATTTGTATCAGTGGCTGGGGGGGGGGGGGGGATGATAGGTGCCAAAATATTTTCAGCAATGGATCAAAGCAACCAAGAGGTAGAAGCGTGTGGCAGGTTGCACTCTTCCCCAAGCGCGTACCGCGGAAGCTCTGACGTTTCATTAAATTATTAGAGAAAGAAGACGATTCGTTGTATCGTGTCCTTGTCTGAGTGCAATACGCCCCCGCCCTCCTTGACGTTTCAATTAATTATTACTCTTAATCCTTTTCTGTATTCATTTTCGTCCGTCCAGCGCCAAGCGCGGAAGCTTTACCGTTTCATTAAATTATTAGAAAAGAGAAGATGATACGTTGTATATATCGTGTACTTTGACGTTTCATCAAATTATAACTCTTAATCCTAGTCTGAATTCAGTTGCCCCCCTCCCGCGCAAAGCGCGGAAGCTTTGCCGTTTCACTTAATTATAAGAGAAAGAAGACGATTCGTTGTAATGTTCTCTAGATTAATCCTTGTTTGAATTCAGTTTCCCCACATGATGTACGTATGGAACGTTCGTTCGCAAATCTTTGCATGCACAGCCCAAGTGGTGGGTAGCATGACAGTATCTCCTGGCAGTGCTTGTCGCAATAGCTTCTGGAAAGGAATTGTATACTACTGTTAGTGTTAACGGCCACTAATTAGGCCCATTAGTGACTATAAAAAATATATTTTTTCCTGGCTATTTGGGAATGTGTTTGCAACAGAAATGGAGAAACGCGAATTTTGTTGAAAATCATGTGATATCACGAACATTTATAATTCACTTGTATGAAATTGAAAATAAGTCATGGTTGGATTTTATTGGGGGATTGAACCAATCAGTACGCCAGTGACATAGGCCTACATCAGCTTTTCAATAAAAACAAAAATAAGTTGTGACATAATAATCTTTCTCCAAAAATGAAAAATGTTTTAGGAAATATCAGGAAATAAAATGAGTGAAAAAATAAAAATAAAGATACAATGACGTGAATTTTAAAAAGGGTGAACGGAAACAACATAACAACTAGTGAACTATCTTATAAGTCATACTAATGTCCGAAAATCTTTCTTCTTGTCTCCGATCTCATCACGAATTCGTGACAGAGTTCATTTATGTTTACACTGTCCAGGATTGTCTGATGTTGCAGATTGCTACTTTTGCGCTTCGCGCTTATAACATTTAGCTCGTTGCTTTTCAACGCTGCGTCTTTGCATTTGGCGCACTGCATTTCTATGATGCTGTTGATTGAACAAATTGAATAAATTTATCAATTCCTGATGAAGCCGTATGATCGAGAATTCAATTTATTCTTGTAACGGTTGTCTCATTCACTTCGTATGTATGTATGTAGAGAGACTATTATGAAAATGAGATACCAATTTGTGTATATTGATGGTCAATTGCGAGTAATAACCATTAACTACTCTCATCGGGCTCTCATCATTAATTTTTCTCTTAATTTTTTTTTTTTGAGGGTGAATTATTGGGGGGGGGGGGGGATGATTGTACAGGCCATCCCCCCCCACCTGAAATATTGGGGGGGGGGGTATATCCCCCCATCCCCCCGGGATCGACACCCATGAATTACAGTTGTTTTAATTTCCAGCATTTTATAAATATTTGAAGACTCAACTGATAAAGATAATATGCTGGGGTTTAAAGTGCTGAGCTTGCATAAAGAACGCATTTTTTTTTAATTCGCAGCCTTCTATTAACGTCCTTAAAACATATACATGACAAAAAGCATTAATCAGCATCGCCATCAGCAATAGATCAGCATCATGGCTTTTTTCTCTATTATATCACCATCATCATTATCGTCGCCAACATCACTACCACTCTCATAAACATTATCATCTTTATTATCTTCATCATTAACACCATCGATCGTCACCACCATCACCACCATCATCTCTTTCATCATCTCTTCCATCATCACCTCAATCTTCACCTTAATCACGACTATCATTATATTCATCATCATCTTCCTCATATTCTATGACATGATCATGATGATCATCATCATTGTAGCAATTATCATTATTATCAACATCTTCATAATAATCACCATCATCTCCTTCATCATCACCGCAAACATCATCTTAATCATGACAATCATATCTTCATCAATATCATCCTAATTTACATTAATATGATCATGATCATGATCGTTATTATCATCTTCATAGTCATCATCAACATCCATCATCATTATCCTTTTCTTCTCTTCGCCTGCATCGTCATCTCCATCACCTCCTTTCATTATCACCACATCATAATCACCAGTGTTGTCATAGTTATGATCATGACCATATTACTTAAATCATCATCCTCATTGTCATTAATTGCCACTATTTTCAACATCATAACCAGCATCATTGTCATAAATCATCATCATAATGGCCATCTTCACTATTGTCATTATTATCATGGTGGTCACATGATCATCATTACCATCATCATCATCTGGCATTCTCTCATTTAGACAAGTCTGAATACAATGGCAATCATTTCAGTTGCCAAAACATTTGAATTTTTAATAATATTTTATTGTCTCAACATTTTACATGACAATTGTACTCCATTCATTCCCACATTGTTGTTGTCTTTAATATTCCCATCAAAGCCCACGTTAACGATTATGCCTAACCAAACACGTTCAAGATTTTTGAATTTTGAAATATTTTCCACTAATGAAAAACAAATCGAAGAATATCCCCCCCCCCCCCCCCATGCACAGTGGTCGTGTGATAGCCATAGTCGCAATCATAGTCGCCCCTCACTAAGCAAACTCGGCAACGAGCTGCTTGCCGAGTGTCTTCATACCGGCGAAGATCTCCTCAGCGGTAGGCTGGATCTGGTAGGCGGGGAGCTCGAACCCGAAGATGCCCTCATCCCTCAGCTCCACGACGTAGGTGTACTTCACACCCAGGGAGCCGTAACCAAAGTCTTCGCTCCCACCTGTGGCGGGATCTGAGATATAGATATTGATATGGATGATAATCTAGGGGTGTCATGTTATAGTGGATACGCCACCGGACTGTGGATCACATGATTCGCGTTTCGAGTTCTTTAATGATAAAGTTTGGGTGACGTGGCAAATTAGATACATCACTCGACTGTGGATAACATGATGAGCAATTTGAGTCCCAGCCCAGCTCTAATATCCTTTGGAAAGATATTATTTTGCATTTGCCACTCTTCACCCATGTATAGTACTAGTAAAATTGGTATCTGGTAGGAATCTATTCCTTGAATGCCTTTTCTTGTTGAGCCTTGAGCTGATGATGATAACGAAAATGGTCTGCAGATTGATATTACATACAACTATTGGTTTCTATATACAATGCTATGATTTTAAAGGAACATATTCTTATCACCACACTGAATGATAACTATTTTGCCCGGAACTTTTCATAATTATGTTTTTTTTTTCCATGCAATTATAATTAAAATGATGATGATGATAACCAGGAGGATGATTCAAAGTATCGATTTGTTGCCATATTTCGGCATTAAAAATTGCAGGCTCCTGCAATCAATGTTTACTCATTTGCTAAAGTGTAGATTATTTGTTTATCAAGAATTATTATCAAGCATTTGACTTATCAAATGACAGAGAGTAATTGATGCGTTCAGACGAAATGACACTCACAACATTTTAGAAACTTTTTCTTTCTATGGAAACGATATACTTACACATGTCAGGTCCTGATTCTCCAACGAAATAGTCTTTGCCATGGACCGAGGTGATTGAATTCTCGATTGCGATGGCTAGATCTTTCTAAAATAAATAAAACAAAAACCCCTGTAATGATTCCAAAACTGAAGCCCCCTGTCTATCAGACGAGTTAATTGTGGTGTAAATGATATCATAGTATTTCATATTATCTTTTAAAAAATAATTATAAGTTCAAATGGAAGTTTGCTGGAAAAATTTAGTGTTTTAGAAGAAATTTACTTTAATTTTGTTTTTCTCCAATTCAATGTATCTTCTCTCTATTTCTAACTGTTTAATACGTCATCTGGATTCCATGTCCATATATCCTACCAGGCCGTGTCGGCGTCACCTGTAGCGTGTCTTCTATTTCATATTGCCTTTGTCAATCACATGTTATTTCATCAGGCGCGCCGGAAGCAGTTTGGGATTGGGGGGGGGGGGGCAAACATTCCAGGGGCAGTGACGTAATGAGAAAAAAATTTCGGAAGGGGGGCCGGGGGGCAGACGAGAAATCTGCATCACCACCAGTCTTACACGTTACATGCAGGTCCAGCGGAACGTTTTCCATGAGTATTATCGATCAGGTAGAGCGTAAATTGGCGTGGGGTCCAGGGCATGAGCCTCGGCAGGGGGTCAAGGGGCTGAGCCCCCGGAAGCTCAGGGGTTTAAGGTATTTAACTACGGTTAGATGAGCATCCAGGGGCCCTCTGTAAGGCAATTGACGTATTCCAAGGGGGGGGGGGGGAGAGCCCCCAGAAGCTCAGAGGTTTCAATATTTAACTACGGTCAGATGAGCATCCAGGGGCCCGCCTTAGTGCCCTTGGTGGGGTCCAGGGGGCAGAGCCCCCGGAAGCTCAGGGGTTTTAGGTATTTAATTAAGGTCAGATGAGCATCCAGGGGCCCGCCTTAGGGCCCTTGGTGGGGTCTAGGGGGCAGAGCCCCCGGAAGCTCAGGGGTTTTAGGTATTTAATTAAGGTCAAATGAGCAGCCAGGGGCCACCTTTGGGCCCTTGGTGGGGTCCAGGGGCAAAGCCCCGGAAGCTCAGGGGTTTAGGTATTTAATTACGGTCAGATGAGCACCCAGGGGCCCGCCTCAGGGCCCTTGGTGGGGTCCAGGGGCAGAGCCCCCGGAAGCTCAGGGGGTTTTAGGAATTTAATTACGGTCAGATAAGCATCCAGGGGCCCGCCTTAGGTCCCTTGGTGGGGTTCGGGGGCGGAGCCCCCGTAAGCTCTGGGGTTTTAAGCATTTAATTACGGTCAGATGAGCATTTTTTTATTCCTTATTTGTGACATTGGCAGGTCACTTATTTTTTTCTCCGTCATCTTTCTTTTTCTCTTTAACATACTTTTTCAAAAAGGAGCGGGGGGGGGGGGGGGCTCGAGCCCAGCCAGTTTGCAGACCATGACATGAAGGCTTCTAAATAAGCGTATTTCGCCTGACTGTAATTTGGGAATTTCTTATTTTCCAACAAACGCATAAAAAGGTATGACTTACAGAAAAAATGGAGAAAAAAATGCCGGAAAATCATGTCGCAACATCAACATTTGTAAATCACTTGTTTCGAATAAGAAATACATCACCCCCCACCCCCATCAGTACGCCAGCGTTCAGGGGCTCATGTCTTCTCACTCCTATTACAAAAAAACGGACACGCTTTCCCATTCTCGCACAATATGTCCACGATATGCGCGTATCGCTATTATAGAGCTCTCCATTGATAAATACCGTATAGGTGGCATGCGCAATGTTTATGAAATTGAATTCCTGTGAACTTTCCTTTTTTCTTTGAATGGAATTGTATATGTGATTTAATCTTTAGGATTAAAAATACAAACCATATTTACTCCTTTTTTTTTTTTTTTTGGAGGGGGGGGGGGGGCGTTTTTAGGGGGCAAAAATGCGTTTTGCCCCCCCCCCCCCCACTTTTTTGACTGGGGGGGGGCAACTGCCCCCCTGCCCCCCACTTCCGGCGCCTATGTATTTCATGCAATATGCTACTCTTATGTGTGATTTTATCTTATTATTATGTTTACTTGTCATTTTGTCACTTTGTGGAAACAGCCGGAGAATGTTTTATGCCATCTGTATCGTTATTTTGTGCATATCTAATAAATGTCTGCAATCCATTTGGAAAGGTTGATTATATCCATAGTATATAGGAATTTATGTATCAAGTGAGGTTTCACATATGAAAAAGTGGTGTCTTTTGGCGAGTCTCGAACGTATGCTCGCTCGCATGTAATAATGGGCACAGGCTTCAAAAACCGTTCTTGTGTCAAAGATATTGGTGTAACTTTGCAATGCTGCAAAATACAAGTCATACCTGATCGTCTCTATCTGGTTGTGTAACGGTTCTCCTGGTGTAACCCCATGGGTAGAGCCAGTACTGGCCATAGGAGTGGAAATCAATGAAGAGTTTGAGGTTTGAACCAAAGCCCTGCAGGAAATCCTTGGAGCCGCTGTTCTCGGGTTCACTCAGCGCCTTTGTGCCCTGATAGTCCTGGGCGCACTTCTGATTGCTGGCACCTATTTTAAAGAAGATAGAGTGAAAGGAATGTTCGATGATAAAATACTTGAACTAGAAGAGAGAGAGAGAGAGAGAGAGAGAGAGGGTAGAAAGAGAGAGGGAAGAAGAGGATTGATAGAATGGTGGGAACGATGGACATAGTTTATCGATCACAAATGCAATTATTTCTCTCCATTGAATTATGAATTATAATCTTTGTTCTATTTTTGTTTTTCTTAAATTATTATCTAATATTCCCACCGTTAAGTGCGGAGTACCACAAGGCCCCACCATAGGTCCCATACTATTTTGTAATATATATGCATGATATGGTTATTGCATCATCTGCGAACAAAACTTATGTTTTTCGCAAAGGATACTAACGTATTTTATTAACATAGAGACATTCTTATCACAACATTCAATATAATATTAAACAAACTATCATCTTTGCTCAAATCCAACAAACTCTCTCAAAATATTAATAAGACTAATTACATTTATTTAAAAAACATACACTCTAATAACATTGTTATAGATGACATGCCCATAATTGAAAAAGAAGTAACAAAATTATTAGGTGTAATAATTGATTCAACTTGGAATAGTCATGTTAATAACATTTGCTTGATACTCTCGAGAGGCATAGGCATTCTATACAAATTGAAGTATTATCTCTCACAAAAGTCACTATTTATGCTTTACAATTCATTCATTTTGTCATACATATCTTATTGTAACATAGTATGGGTAATAGTAATACGACGAAAATTATGTTAATATATCGTCTCCGAAAGAAGGCACTCCGTATTTGTACACATTAACATCATTTAGCCCATATGAATCAAATATTTTATGAGTTAAAAACATTACAAATTGCTGACATTCACATTTTCCAAATTGCAATCTTTATGTATAATTTTTGGATGAGTATTATACCATTAGCATTTCGAAATATTTTTTTGTGTGTACAAAAAATATATATGATATACATTTGTGTCCTACACGACACTCATCCGACCTCCTTAACTAACCCGCAAATAATTATGGCCTATAAAACGATAAGACACCATAGTACGGATATTTGGAATGCTTTACCTGACAATATTAAACACTCTGCTTCTCTTTATTCATTCAAAGCCTCGATGAAAAAATATAATAATTATTCAAATATTAATAAACATTATAAAGATCTAAACAATTTTATTAAATTGCTTGTTTTTATAAATTAATTTAAGATGACTAGTTCATGAACAAAATGAATCGAACAATTTTTTCACCTGCGCACCCACACGCACCCACGCACACACTTGCAATTTTCTTTTTTTCTTTTCTTTTCTTTCTTCCAACTTTTCATTAAGATTTAAGTTTTTAAGTTTAAGTTTTAAGATCATCACTTTGTGTAAAAGATAAAAGTACGATCTACATTTTTTTCAATATCTGGACAGGAAACGCAAGAAGACAACAAGAGTAACAAGTTAGCAACGATTTAATTTCCGATAAATTTCTTTCTCAGTTTTCAGGGTTTTATTTGCCACATTTAACTTTTTTCCAAAGATTAGCTTCATTAAATCGTCTATAACTGAAGTTAATCTTTGGAAAATAGTTTAACAAAATCTCTGCAGCAGAAGGACAATATGATTTTAAGCGCAATATTTCATTTGACATTTTTCCACGGGAAGTTCTAGGAGACTGAACAGAACAGAGACGTGGAATGCTAAGAGAATGACATGACGAGCGAGAAAGTCTGGGGGGAACAGAATGCAAAGAAAATGAATTCACGAGTGCAATGGAAGCTAAAACAAGAAACTTTAATGCCTGAAAAAACAAAATTACAGGAAAGAGAATCGAACGGAATAGTGAAAAGGGAAGTGGGACATTCAGTATTCTAGAGTACTGAGAAGATGACCGATTAATGGCTGCAGTAAGTTGTTCGATAAATAAATGTCCCTACTATTCTCCTACCTCCCCACTGGTAGTCGTAGTTGCGGTTCAGATCGACTCCAGCGCAGCCACCAGTGTTGGGGTTGCGATTCTTGCGCCACAAACGATCGTCCTGTCAACGAAAATAAACAATATAGTATGAAAAGGAGCTGAGTCATACCCCAAGTTTTTTTTCTTCTTCTTCTCAAACTCAGAAAGCCCTACCCGAGAACGTACCTTTATATTGTCCTTGGACAGGTGCCTGGCAGGAAAGTGGTAGGTGTGTTGACCAACATTTGAAAAAAATCTTTGATTCGTTTGTATCATAATCTACATTATGCGTAGGTTTTTTTTAAATTAATGCTTGCACCACTCGTTAAAAAGAAGCAGAAGGGGTGTAAAGGCGCAGGTAATAATTAAAAGTAATATTTTTCCTATACATTTTCATACATGCCAACATTTGAAAATCAGAAATCTGTACAAATTATGCTATTTTCAAAAAAAGAGGAACAATCCTATCTCTCCTATTCAATACTACAGACAAATTTGTACAGGAAGAGGAACACCTGCATTAAAATGATAATTATCTTCTCCCAAAAAGAGGGATGTTCCTCTTTAATCTGAACAGTTGGCATGTATGCATTTTACATTATAAAGTCTATAACGTTGTGTACGATGTCATTCTTACATTGCGCATTGACTTCTGCGCATGTCGGTGACGTAGTCCTACGTTAGCAAATGACGCATCGGGTGCCATGGAGAATATTACAAAATCGTACACGCTTTTAAATACAGATGACTTTACTCAAATACATGTTGACTGGTGTTGGTAAAAGCCCTCATTCAAGTTCCTCGTTTAGGAAATGTTCATTCCAACAAAATTCATTTGTTTAATAAATTTTTGTTTCTCTCTGCCTCTTCCTTTCTCTCTCTCCCTCTCTCTCTCTCTCTCTCTCCCTATCTCTCTCTCTATCTTTCTCCCTCCCCACTCTCTTTTTCTATCTCTCTGTCTCTGTCTCTCTGTCTCTCTTTCTCTCTCGTCATACTCACGGAGATGCTGAACTTGTATCCATCGACGTTGAAGACGGGTACAATGATCCACACAAAGTTATCCAACATGCTCGTCACCGTATCATCACTGCCGTAGTTATCTATGTACTGTTATAATAATAATAATAATAAAAACGTTACTTATAAAGCGCTTAACACCGAAGTCTCTAAGCGCTAATATGAGGAGAAAGATGGGAAGATGAGAGAGGAAGAGAGAGAGGAAGAGGGAGGGAGAGAAAGTGTGTGTGTGTGTGTGTGTGTGTGTGTGTGTGAGAGAGAGAGAGAGAGAGAGAGAGAAATGAAAGAAGAAAGAAATTGGGACAGAAAAGGATAACAAGAACGTGAGAAAGAAAATAGACGTAAAATGTAAAGAATTGCATTATAATGGAAGAAAACGAAACATGAAAAATGATTCAGACACGAACACACTTTCCTTTTATGATTTTATTTATAAGATTTCATTTGAGAAGTACGTCCTTTATAATCTACAAAGGACAAGTTGTTCAGAAATAACACAGTAAAAAGAACAGTTTCATACAGTTACAAAAAATTATATGAAATATATTAAAGTTTCATTTCGGTTATTGTGCATGCAAAGTAAATATAACTCTGAATGAACCCATCGAAAGCCAAGCTTTTTTGATAGATGGAACACAAATGATCAATGTAAGTGACATTTGGTTATATTCACTTTTACAAGAAAAAAAATACAGTTATGCTCCTGTTCCACATTGCTGCTCCGTTCTATGACGTTCTTTTAAGTTTAAAAATATTAATTTTTTTAGTTTCGAGGATAGGGGGGGGGGGGAGCAAACGCGTCCGTACACTCCTTACAATAGGGGTAGGGTGGAATAATCTCCGATACTCGACTAAAGCAATTCTTCAACTGAAAAAAGCGAGAGATATAAATTATATACGGCTACTGAGATCACATACATTTTTGATGAGGTTGATGACTGTAGCTGGGCTGATCCATTCGCGGGCATGGATGCCTCCCTGGATGTAAGCCACGTTCGTTGCAGATGGTGATTTCGCGATCTGTTCGGTGTGATTACAGGCAGATGTTTTTGTGTTATGAGGAAAGTGTTGTCGAAAACGAGGCGGCATCAGGATTTTTGATTTTAAGGGGAGACACACAATTTCTTAACGATTACAAAGTAAAAAGGGGTAAATGTTTAGTTGTGCACTTAAGGTATGCCAATTGGGTTGCGAAAGGGGGCAGAGGCGGCGTTAAAGAAAGGAGAGGAGGGTTAATGTTTTTTCATGATTTTGCGAAGGTACCTTCCTTCAAAGTGTTTTCTAAAGCTATACAACGGTTTCTTCAAGTGGTTTTGAATATTCTGAAAGGAACCTTCATTCCAAAAAAAAGCGAAATGCTTGGATGCATAACGGGCCCCGTTTTTTGCACAAACCCAAACTATGCAAATTCATAAGTTGCTCAAATGGTATTTTGTACACCATGTGATAACACACACACACACACACAAACGAAAAGTAACATTCAATAGGAGATAGATAAGGATCCATTTTGTAAGGGGAAGGGGAAATAACATTACGAATGTTACTTTTTGGGGGGAGGGGGTTGTGTGCGTTATAGAATATGCCAACTGCAGGGCTTCAACATGGTGAAGGGGCACGGGACAGTCAAGCCCCCAGCCACTGGTAATGGGTCTCTTAACAAAAAAAAAGGGGACCTTCTTCAAGATCGTGATGATGACGCAAAGTTTACCCTGAGTCCGTAAACGGCTTCTCCCTCGTAAGTGGTAGTGACCTGGACCATGCTGACACCAAGGTGAGAGGAGGCAAAGTCATTCATCCAAGCAAAGATCTGAAAAGACAAATGAAGAAAAAAAAAGAAATAAAGAAATTACGACAGGACGAGACAATATTGAGAAAATGACGAACGAATAAAAAACATCAAAGTAAGGGTGGGAGAAAAAGCGGAGTGAAAAGAAAAAAGAGAAAAAGGGAACTATGAATACAAAATTGGAAGACATAAAAATGAAGGAAAAAGAAAAGTATACTGAAGAAGGTAAATAAAAGAAAATGAACTAATTAGAAAAGAAGATACAGTAACGTTTAATCAATGAAAAGCTGGGAATTATGCAGGATTAGAGGCAGAATGCTAAATAAATGTAGTTTAATTTATCAATTTACAAGACGTCATATCGAAATGTGTCGTGGTATAATGTTTCATACTCATACACTTGACTCTTAATCTAAGGGCTGACTGTTCGAATCTCAAGGCCCTCAGAGAAAAAACAGAACTGAAACAGAAATTTCGTAAATGGGCGTGGCAGAAGAGAGTATGGGAGAGTTATATAATATAATATAATATAATACTACATAATGGCATATAAGATTTAACTTTCCTATAAACTGTTGACCTTGTCTCTTTCCATTTGATGGGTATGGGACGACCCTTAGCCCCGCCCCCGTCTCCCTCCCGTCACGTGGTGGTATTTTGTAACATGATTGGTTAAATCTTTACCTCTTCGTAGGTGTGGTAATTGTTATAGTCGAAAGCAGCCGCATCAAAGTCGTTCTTAGAACTGACCATCGCGGCAGCCTCTCGGTCGATCAAATCCTGGACGTTGGAGATCTATAGGAGAAACAAGTACGTGTAAAGCAAGCCGAAAGATATAACATTCAATGAATATACAAGTCAAAACACAAGCAACCGGATCTATAAAAATATCAATAAATTGTTGAAGTCGGCAAGTGAGCAGATACACCTTTGTTTTACCCCAATTTATGGAATTATTTTGACAATGATTTATTCCTAATAGATCTAGATAATAGTATACATTCTCAGATTGTATTGAATAATAATTTGCGAGTGTTTGTTTTGCGTGACTGCTAAAGCATGCGTATGCTACTATGCTTCCCAACTAGGGGACCTACGCCATTGAGTCATAAATGATAGCAATGAGGATTAATGCCCCACAAAAGGGCACTAATATAGCACGTCGACACGGTTTTGATCCTGGGGCCTCACAGTTATGAGGCCACTGCTTTGCCACTGAACCATGACTATACGCAGCGGGGGCTAGGGTAGGGGGCAGTTCCCACAAATAAAGAAAACAAAGAAATGCAATATATTTTCAGTAATTCATTGCATTTTACCCCATTCCCCAACATAAACAAATCCTCTGTACGGCCATGCATTATGGCTCAAAGCATGGGCACACAGAAGATTTTTTTCTGTTGGAAACACGTCACAATACAGTTACCAGATTGCCAATATGCGATTCGCATAGATTTAGTAATCTCATATTTCAAACTCATTACTTTCTTATTATCGGTCGGACTTTATCAAATTTTCGCCTTTCTTCTTCTCTTATGTTTCCGCTTTCCTACAAATGGAATTATTACAAGGTTTGAATTGCATATTAACTATACATTTCTACGTCCATAAACCGATCGCAAATAAGTTATTTACAGACTGTAATCAATATACTTCAGGACTGGTTTAGATGATGATTATTTTCTTTATTTGCGACATTTTTGTTTTAACGTTATTCATTAATTGTACCACGTGACCAGGGACCTCGTCAGAGGCAGAGTGAGTTGCTGGGACATGGTATTTAAAATATCCTGTCAGTAAATCGGAATATTTCGAGCCTTGGCGAAAAACCGCCAAAATCAATGACATTTATATTTATTCATTGCCCTTTCTATTTAAAAATTCAGCATTTAATTATTCATTTATTCCACTCTTTTTTGTTTGCTTGTTGGAATAAAATGTGTACTCCTCTTGCCCATTTTGTTAAAATATTGCGACCAAAAAACAAAAACAAAACAAGGACCTATTTTTCTTATCATATCTTTTTTTGCTTGCTGAAAAAAATTGGACTAACTTGTTGGCAAAAGGATTCGACCCCTCCTTCCCCCTCCTTCCCCCTCCTTCCCCCTCCTTCCCCCTCCCTCCCCCTCCCTCTCCCATTTAAATGGTGATCGCTTTTACTTACCCACGTCTCGATGGTGAGTCCGGGACGGCTCGCGGAGCTGACAAAGCTCAACTGCTGGTCGGGAGAGACCATAACGTCGACGGGTCGTCCAACCGTCGATGGGCGCTTCCAGAAATCAAGCTGAAATGAGAAAGATTAAGAGGAAAAAACAGAGATGAAGAGTAGAAAGAAGAGGAGAGGGGAAAGGAGAGGGGAAGAAAGGAGAGGAGAAGAGAGGAGAGAAATGAAGATTAGAGAAGTGAAGAGTAGAGAAGCCGAAAGAAGAGAAGAGAAGAGGAGAGAGGAGAAGCGAAGAGAGGAGAAGATAGTAGAGGAGAGGGAAGAAGAGGAGAGAAGAGAAGGGAAGAGAAGAGAAGAAAAGAGAAAAGAAGAGAAGGGAAAAGAAGAGGAGAAGAGAAGAGAAGAGAAGAGATGAGAAGAGAAGAGAAGAGAGACATAAATTGAAATGTTAACTCGATTTCTTTTTTTAAATAGTTTTAATCCCTTATTGACCAGGGGTTCTCAAACAATATTCTTGACGGTCCACATGTGATTTTCATAAAAGCTAAAAGGTCCAAAACAAAGGACGAAATTTCTTCACTTCATCATTTTTTCCATACAAACGTGTTTTTACATGTACCTTAATTTCAAGAGTTTACATGGTTAATACAGTCAAAAGTGGAAGTTGTGGTACACAAGTCAGTCATAGCAGTGCAGTGACGTATCTAGGTATTTCGGCGCCTCCCCAATAAACAAAATCACGTGAAAATCACGCCAATATCAAGGTATCGACTTGAGGAGAGTTACGTTCTTCAAACACCTGACATTTACGTAAATGTGTTAATACGTTTATTGCACTAGGTAACTTAAAACACACGTACACTAAATCACGCAATTGTCACTGCAAAATCACCATTATAATAACGTGATTATCCCTACCTTGGAGACCATGGTTTGTAAACCTAATACTCCCGTGTTTGTTTGGTTATGAAATTACATCTTCATAAACGAAATTATCGCGTCACAGAAACACGTGAAGCGTTAGTAATAGTTTTAGTCAAAATATCTGCGTGAAATTCACGTGAATATTACGAGGCTGACTTGAGACGAATCATGTTCTTCATTCACGTGAAATTTACGTCGAAGAGGAAGTATGTTACTGTAACCCGCGTTCAACCCAATAATTACGCAAATGTTACAATAAATGAACCAAAATAATAATAATCATCCCGTTTCTGAACATCGTGTCTTGGATCTTCCATAATTACGTCCAGGCGCGCCGGAAGCAGTTTGGGGTTAGAGGGGGTTGGGGGAGGGGGGGGGGGGGTGCAAACATCCCAGAAGAGAAAGCTAGTTGCAACTGGTCCAGTTGATGAACCATTTAATGCCAACTGGTAACTCTGGAAATTGAAATGGGCTAAATGATCCAGTTGATCCAGGCCAGTTATAATTCAACTGGTCTAGCTGAGCCATTAGAACCATTTGGTTAACTTCCAACCAGTTGAACAGCAACAATACTTCAATACTGGTACGTCTGTATTTCCAATGTAAAGGCATTGGTAATAAGTAGACTTACATAATTGAATTAATCAAACAAATTTCGTAAACTTGTACTTTATTGAAATTATTTTAGTTCATAGTTAATGTTTCCCTTATTCATGTTTAACTAAATGTAATTTATACGAAGTAGCAAAATGTCCTAATAACTGGTAATTTATATTTGTAGTATTTTCGAAATGAATTGCATATAACTAATTCATCAGTAATTTAGAAATATGCTGTAAATTCAGATAAATTGTTTAAAAACATAGATATGCACGCACCCCACATTCAATATGCAAATTAATTGGTGTCAGCTGGTTCAACTCGAAATATGCCGACACTCAGTCATCAACCGGTGCAACTGGAAATATGCACACTCCAGTTATCAACTGGTGCAATGAAAATATGCCAACAGTCAGTTATCAACTGGTGAACATAGAAATATGCCAACAGTCACGGTATTATCACCACGGAACTTAAATGGGAACTGTGAAACCATCAAGACACCCAAGAATAACTCATTTTCACACCTGGAAAACACGGAATACCCAGCTTATATAAATAATCCGTTTGAGTCACGAGATCATCACCGCGGAACTGCTGGCAACGTTGACTACCATTTAAATAGGTGTTTTAAGACACCTAATCATGACTAATTATTCACACCTAAAAGTCACGTATGCCCAGCTTAGATTAATATTCCGTTTGAGTCACGAGATCATCACCGCGGAACTTATGGCAACTTTGATTACCATTTAAATAGGTGCTTTAAGACACCTAATCATGACTAATTTTTCACACCTAAAAGTCACGTATGCCCAGCTTAGATTAATATTCCGTTTGAGTCACGAGATCAACACCGCGGAACTGCTGGCAACGTTGACTACCATTTAAATAGGTGTTTTAAGACACCTGATCATGACTAATTATTCACACCTAAAAGTCATGTATGCCCAGCTTAGATTAATATTCCGTTTGAGTCACGAGATCATCACCGCGGAACTGCTGGTAACTTTGACTACCATTTAAATAGGTGTTTTAAGACACCTAATAATTACAAATTTTTCACACCTACATATCACGGATTCACAGCTTAGATTAGTAATCAGCTTGAGCCACGCGATCATAACCAAGAAATTTATGTTAACTTTGAAACCATTTAAAGAGGTGTGTAAGACACCTCCGAATTACTTATTTAATATAACCAGAGATTCACGGACAGAACAATAAGACGATTAGCCGGTGTAAGTAACGTGATTATTACCATCAACCTTGGATAACCTGTGAAACCAATCGATAAAGGTGCTTACAAGACCAAATGATTACGTATTAATCGCCACCATCGGTTAACGGACAAAAAACTCGTTGCTTGGTCAAGTAGTTATTTGGTCATAAACACTTGATTTACAGAGGTAAGTGGAATCACGTTACTCTAGTCGCGTGATAAACTGGTGGTTTTTAGGTTATATGAAAACGTGAACAGGAGTACCTTTTTTGTTTAAATGAAGGCACGTGTCGATAACGTTTAAATCTAGTTCAAAAGGCACTATACTTTAAAATCACTTAAAATACACTCCCAAAAGAGGTTACTTTTTAGTGTTCTGTTTATTGGGTCACAATCTTATCTACATAACTGTACAAGCAAAAAGTTATACTTTTATTGTGGTAAAAATATTGCTTATCATCAAAATACACGCTGCCTGAACAATTTTGTTTTCTTCCGGGAATCCCGTTGCCAATAATCGTCCTGTTTTATTTTATTTTGCGAGTCAAAAATTGAGCTTTAAAAAATCCTCATCAAAATTGACTAAGGTACGACTAATAGTTTATTCCGGCACCTTGTTGTCTGAATATAGGGCAGTGGAGTTGAAAATATTGGACATAAGTGGCTTTCTATTTCACTTCTTTTTCAACTGGGGCGCAGAATTAACGAACACTCTGGAGAGATGTAGTCAAAGAATTTAGCAAGGTAAGAGAAATTTAAGATTGCTTTCAAAAACTGAACTTTCCCAAATGTAATAGTCTTACACTGAAGTATGTTGAGGCGCAATACACGCGTTTAAAACGCTATTATGAAATTACGAGATCTAACTGAAGCAACAGATGTGAGGAAGCAAAACGACTGGTCTTTTGAACAAAATTCCCATCTTTCAAACAAAAAATTATATTCCTACTTCAATTCCTAACTCTATTTCAAATACAGTTTACCCTTCGTATATCGGGCGCAGAATACTTAAAGTTCAGGGATCTCCGTGTCTCTTTATATTTGTTGTGGCATTTGTTTTTGGCACGCCTTCTGTTTTGCATTTTTCGTTGGCGCCTCTTCGTGTGTCATCCAAGGCATGTCGACATGGTGCAGCGTGTTGACGCGGACATTTGAGACACCCCCTCCCCGCGCCCTCTTGACCTAAGCCCTTTCAACTACATAACCATTGATTTAAATGCGAAATTCAGCTAAACCAAACTTTTTATGTTTATTTCAATGGCATTGGAAAAATATTTGTTCATTCTATAATGTTTAATCTAAAATTTGAAAAATGCACAAATACAACTGAATCAAAAATTCCGGTCTATTAATGTTCAAAGTCTAGGATTGCCAGGCGAAAAATGGTGGCCTGTTTTTTTCCTCTCATTTTCTTGCAATAGACATGTTGAACTGAAAGCAGTACAGAATAATGATGGAGTACAGTGAGTAATAAATTATGTGATTACTTCCTGTAGCATTTGATAAACGTTGACCTGCACGTTGCTGTGCATTCTTACCATTGCCCACCTGTCAGCTACCTCTTCCATCCATTCTAACTCCTCCTGAGTACGGGGAGTCACACGGTAAACTTTGTAGCTGTGCATAGAAGAAAAAGAAGAAGAAATTACTTTATCGGCATCGAGTTCATAGTTGCCATGTTTGTCGAAACGAATGCTTGAACGACAATGATGTTGACGATGGTGGTAATGATGGCGGGGATGACGGTGACGATGATGATGATGATGGTGGTGGTGGTTATAATGATGGTGTTGGTGTTAGTGATGATGATGGTGCAATAATATTTATAAAAGTAATGGTGATGATGGTGGTGGTGAACTTTATGGTGGTGGTGGTGGTTGGTGGTAGTAACGGTGATGGTGATGGTGGTGGTGGTGGTGGTGGTGGTGACGAGTATAACAGTGATAATTGTGATGATTTGGTGATAGAGTTGGAGGTAATGATGATGGTGGTGGTGGTTATAATGATGGTGTTGGTGTTAGTGGTGATGATGGTGAAAGAATATATTTATATTAGTAATGGTGATGATGGTGGTGGTGGACTTGTTGTGGTGGTAATGATGATGATGATGGTGGGGCTGCTCAAACAGCTGTCTTTCAAAACGAAAGTGATTCCTTGCTTTGTTCTTAGCAAACAGTGCCTTTCTGAAGAAGTTAAAGGTGAATAATTTGGAGATGGATCGCATGCCACCTAATCTAACCCAAATAAAAGTTCATGATGTGGGACCTTTTAAAACACACAAACTAAAGGAACGAACTTGTCAATTTCAGAGCCCCTCTCAAAAATCGTTTCCGAGGATTCCGAATGATTCCGAAGGATTTCAAATAAAGCAATATTGATAAATTCTACACTGAATAGTCATTACAGATTTTCAATATCCATTTAATGCCTCAACGTCATGGGGTGAACTTTTATCGCCACTCTGCTGTTTTCCTTGAAAACGGCAGATATTTTGTGCCCGTTAACACATTTCACAGAATGCTAACACTGTCACTGTTTCAAGACTTGTGTTTTAACAAAACGTTGTACAAAGTTTCATCGAATATCAACCTTAATTCAATGGTGTACTCACTTTTGCTGATTGCTGTAAAAACAAATGGTGCACATAGCATTGCAAACTTACATATCATGCCTGTACACACGATGCATCATTTTATTTGTGTCAATACCTGCGCTAATCAAGCTCGTTTGCGCTGTTAACGATACGTTCCATTTTACTACTGTATAACTCCCAAATGGCGCATCAAAGATTTGATGCTAATCTCTGACGCAGTCTTACGTCAGGCAAATAACGCTTTATGTGCAATGAGCATAGGCCTTACCTGTCATAACGGACTTTGCGGCTGACCGGTAAAGCTGAGCAGACGGTCAAAATGACCGCCAAGAGACCAAGAGTAACCCTCATTCTGATCAACGATGTGTCGAAAAATAACCAGTATCAGAAGTGGCCTTGATCATTTATAGATCTATACATTACACACTGTTGATTATGACGTCAGCTTAGCTAACCAATCAGTGACAGTTTTGTTTTTATCTATAGATTATGACCATCTGCTGAACATATTGTCTACAAGGAAAGATTAATTATTATTTAAAAAAATTTATATGCCAAGCGAGTGAGGCATCGAACTTTTCGGCCCAAATCAACATAGACAGTGCGTAGTAAAAAAGAAATGTACCAAACTTTTAATATAGCTTCTAATTAAAAAGTTATAACCTATGTAACCTAGAATCATATTTCAATTTAAAGGGTAACTGATACCCTGTCTAATGATACCATATTCATAATTGCGCTGCCACGGATGGCTGAGCAGCAGGCTTTTCAAAAAGTATTGTCAAAATCCTCTTGTACCAAATTTGGGCTCAAAGCAATGAATGTCGGTTAAAAGCCATATGTGGGTTATCTCATTCCATAAACAGTTGCTCACTTATTAATATTGACTATAAGGCAGATAAAGATAAATGGAGTTAAAATTAACTCAAGCTCAAAGAAATCAAACAACATGTATGACATCTCTTCGTAATGATGATTACAATCTTGAATTCATTCGCATCCCTTGTTTAAGGTAACCCTTCTCATTTGAATGAAACAAAATGGATAACATTTATTTGGGACATTATCTTCTTTATGAAAGTCTACCGTCAATTTATTGGATACTTATCATTATGTGTTCTCCAATTCATTTGGGTTTAGTAACTTTTGAGTTTTCATTCGCTATTCGATATAAACACCTTATGCTCCTTACGCGTGTGAAATGGCGCAGCGGACAAGTGACCGAAGAGAACTGTTCAAAATAATTAAAGCTTATCCTAAGGATCATTTTAAACAATGAAGCACGGGAGCATGAGGCATAAGTTAACTTTTTAAATGATTTAAGACCAACGAAGCACATGCGTATTCGTTTCATAAGCCCAAACTCGGTATACAAGGCGATTTTGACCAAACTGTTTGAATAGGGTATCATTGGACAGAAAACAAGTTACGCTTCATGATTAAATAAATTTCAAAGTCATATTGGTTGTCACTTTTTAATTTGGAGCTACCAAAGTTGGATACACTTTTTTATACGCACTATATAGGCCTAACAGTATCATAAATTATATTACTGCATGTCCCAATCACCATCAAAATGTTAGTGTCACCTTTGAAATATGCGGACAGAGCAGTATCACATACTCTGAACATGATTCTAAAGAACGTTACGATAGGACATTGAGAGTTAGTTCTTTGAAATTCCTTGCGATTGTGTTGTGTTTCAATTTCATTACTTAGGTATATACTACTAAGGGGGGGGGGGGAGGAGGGGGAGGGGGTTATAGGCCCTCTTCTTTTTTCAATACATACCACAGATTCATACAATAATTTGGCTATGGGTTTCTCTAGAGCTCGGTCGCTCCGCTCCCTCGCACAATACAACAATCTGTAAAGCACTTCATTTCAGGTCTTGTAATTCTTGTGTATGATCATTACACATACACAGGCTTGATAATGTGAAAAACAAGTTTCAATTGGCCTAACAAAAGTGTCTAAATTACACCATTGAGAGAACGGAGAAAGGGACTTTCATTGAAAGTGCTAAAACTACTGAATACAAATTTTCTTGCTCGGTATTTCACCGATTTTATAGATTGCTATAGCAATAGTTAATAAATTGAAAGGGTTCTTGATATACACTGCTGGTCATAAAGGTGGAATATTTTTTTTTACTCCAATTTATGTAATGATTTTGACAATGATTTATTCCTAATAGATCTAGATAATAGTATACATTCTCAGATTTTATTGAATAATAATTTGCAAGTGTTTGTTTTGCGTGACTGCTAAAGCATGTGCATGCATCTATGCTTATCAGCTAGGGGATCTACGTCCTTAAGTCATAACTGACAGAAAGGAGGATAAATACCTCGAAAAAGGATACTTATATAGCACATCGACGCGGTTTTGATCATGGGGCCTCATAATTACGAGGCCATTGCTTTGCCACTGAATCATGATTGTACGCATCGGGGGCTAGGGTAGGGGGCAGCCCCAAAAAATAAAAAACCGAAGAAAATGCAAGAAATTATCAATAATTAATTGCATTTCCACCGGTCCCCAACAGAAAAGAAATCCTCTGTGTGGCCATGCCTTAAACCATAATGCATGGCCATACAGAGGGAAACAAATCAGAAGAAAACGCAGACGGCAACGAAAAAAGACCGATCTTCATGATGATGACCGATATCTAGCCAAGATTGAGTTCTCCCTTGCAATGTTGGCGCGAAAATGATTCTGATCAGACAGGCGATGATTTAATATAATATGCATAATCATCGCGAGGAGGCAATATGATGACGTATTAATAATTGATTTATGAGATAAGAAAGAGGTGCCACGTCAGTGGATGCATTACTAGGGATTCGTGTGCAAAGAGACAATATAAAGGACGCATCTGCCAATCTTAAAAGCATTCATAATTAAAGGTGGTATCACACCTTTGACGGGGCCTCATTTTGTCGGGTTAATCTAAAGTATATTATTTCAAAAGGCACTGTGTTAAAATAGAAGGCAAGGCTTTTATATAAGACGGCAAAAGTTAATATGCAGCCCTATATTTCATGGTTTTTCAAATCTCATCTAAGAACAAACAAACCCTTCTAAATCACGTTTTGAACTGTACAACTTACTGTTACATAGGTTTCTGGATAATAGACCGTATTCAGAGAACAATTTTCATTAATAGTCAATTCTTCAGTCTCCACTAAGCTACATGAATAGGTAAAAGTATTTGCACTTTAAGACCCGAAGGACTATTAAATTTACTGATGTTAGCTTACAATTATCATACTTAAACAGTCAGAGTGCAGGTTGCTTACAGCAACTGTTGCTATGTCGGACAAAATTTAAGGTCGTAACTAGTTGTCAGTGTAAAGTTGAGACGTGCATCGTATTCTGACGCACTTTGTAAATTGATTTGTAATTCTCTTTAAAAAGATTTTAAAAATGTGGACGTGCAAGAAATTGTGTAGTTAATGTTTAATTTTGCACACGTTCCGAAGCATCACATGCATATTTTAATATTTTCATTCACATGATGAGTGTTTCTAATTACACGGTCCCTGGGAGAACACGTCTGCAAGTCACCAGGTCTTCAATGAGAAAACTCTTCAAGTGAAACTAAAACGAAATACGAGTTTAGTTTGCTCATTTTAATGACTGTATACACTATACAGTGCCCTTTTTGCGAACATGACACAACTCGACCTTTTTCACGAGCCCAACACGATATATAACGCGCAAGAACTAAAGCTAGTACGATATCGTAATGAGAACGTACTGATAAAATGACATTTTCTATACAGATCTTGCTTTTTGGCAGTCGCCGAATATTTCTGTTGACAATTTTTGGCACACTTCGTGTTAGCGTCCTCATTTGAAGTTTCCGCGGAACAATTTTTTTAGCATTGTTGAGGTGAAAAGGGCACGTCACCTGCAACACATGTTATGCATGACCGGGAGAAGAAGAAGAAAGAGGAGGAGAAGAAGGTGAAGACAGAGAAGAAGGATGAGGAGAAGAAGAAGAAGAAGAAGAAGAAGAAGAAGAAGAAGAAGAAGAAGAAGAAGGGAAAAGGAGAAGAAGAAGAAGAAGAAGAAGAAGAAGGAGAAGAAGATGAAGAAAAAGAAGAAGAAGAAGAAGATGAAGAAAAAGAAGGAGAAGAAGAAGAAACAGAGAGGAAAAGAATAAGAAACAGAGAGGAAAAAAGATAGCGAAAGAGAGAGAGAGAGAGAGAGAGAGAGAGAGAGAGAGAGAGAGAGAGATGGAATGGCAATATTAAGACAGCGTGAGTTTTCGGAGCTTGTGACGAAGTTAAACATTTGTTGAAGATCCCATATTTGTAGACATTACCAAGGAGGAGAAGAAACGGGCAATTTATCTGAGAAGACTAAGAATGTTTCATTCTTGATCAGAAAACGATATATGTATGCTTTTCTTCCAAAAAAATTAAACACCATCAGTATAACATTAATAATGCTTTCTAGTTTATAATATAAGAAAGTATCACTGCGATTTCAATTCACTCATTCCAAAACATGATAATCTTTAACCACTCTCCGAAAAATCCAGGAGGATTTAATGATAATTCTGACATAAATCATCACGGCCTGTAATTACGTCAAAGACAATGCCCGATTAATTAGTTTAAATAAACAATTATGACAAATGGGAGAGATTACTGAGGTTGCAATATCTAAAATTAGGTTTCGAGCTACATGTATATGAGCCAGAAAGGCATGATCTCATACAGTGGCGTACGCAGGATTTTTTTCAAGGAGGATGTTTGAAAATTTGGAAATCGCGCCGACCAATATTTCGCTCAGTGGGGGGAGGGGAGGGGGGGGGGGGGATACTGAGCAACATTTTTTTCTTCTTTTTTGTTTGCCCCCCGAAATTTGAAAATCGTGCCGACCGATATTTCACTCAGTGTTTTTTTTTTTTCAAAACAAAAATTGTAGGGGGGGGTTAACCCCCAAACACCCCCTGCGTACGCGCCTAAGCTCATATCACTTTATACAGAGTTGACGCCCTTTGAACTCTCAAAAATGTATATCTCTTGTGGAAATTGAACAGCTGTAATGCGTCAATATTGTTGTCACGACTCCCTGTTTTTTTGTCTCCACAAAGTTCGTTAACATTTGTATAGACTGGTTAAGTGAAAAATCGTCAACGTATTAATGAGCATTATCAGGCATAAAACATTACAGTTGTTTTAATTTCCAGCATTTTATAAATATTTGAAGACTCAACTGATAAAGATAATAATGCTAGGGTTTCAAGGGATAAGCTAGCATAAAAAAAACGCACACCTTCATTTTTTCTTTGCAGCCTTCTATTAACGTCTCTAAAACATATTCATGACAAACAACATTAATTAGCATCTCCA